GTCCGGTGATCCGAGCCATGTTCAGTCCCGTGTATTACACATTTGTTCATTAGGTCTGTCAAATTGTCAGAGGCTAGGACGAGGTCGATGGTCGACTCGCAGTCCCCGCTCTGTCCCCCACCGTGCCATGTTTTTGTACCTCGTTTGAGCAAGCTGCTAAGAGCGAATTCGATCATGAGGTCAATGATTGGGTCCGCTTCGCCCTGTCTTCCCAGGGACACCTCGTCTCCGCCCCAGGGTTGGTCATGGCGGTTGAAGTCTCCCATAATCATGATATCCACCACAGCGCCCGTGTCTCGTCGCACCTTTAAGATTGCCTTTCTTAGGTGATCGCATGCGTCTTCTAGCGCCGAGGCCTCTCCGCCTTCGATGTAGACCGATGCCATGAAGATCAGCCGTTCGGGTAGCCGGACGATCGTCGCTGTCAGATCCGGGGATTCTATAGCCACTTGATCCGCTTCTATGTCGTTATTCACCCAAAGCATGCTTCGGATCGCCCACCTGCCTTCCCTCCAAGTGGAGGGGACCATCTTCGTCCATTTGTGGTGTCCCATCGGGGTGGTCAAGAGCCGGCCCTGGATCCCCCTCGCCTGGGGTTCCTGAATCGCTAACGCCACTGCGTCCTTGGTTTCCTCGTCGTTCATTAAGCTTTCCAGCACTGCACCCTGCTTCCTCACATTCAATTGAATGATTCGAAGTGGTTTGTTCATGACGTGATGGGTAGAGCTTCCGGCAGTTCTTGCTAAACGATTCATGTGGCCCACCGCACGGAACGCACTTTGGAACCGCTTGATCGCAGCGACTGTGGTGATGGCCCTCCGTGGCGCATTTTGCGCACTTTTGGATCTTCTTGCATTGGAATGCCTTGTGACCAACCTCCTGGCAGTTGTAACATTGCATCGGTCGTGGTCGATGCTCAAAGACGCTGGTTGTCCCGGATTCCCCTCCGGCGTGGAAGTATCCGTCGACCAAGAGCCTCCGCGCGTCAGTGCCCTTGGTGAGGTACACGACCATTGATCCATATGGCTTCACGGTTTCCTTGCTGCTAAGCCATGTCATCTTGGCGATAGTAGTTTCATTCTCCTCACCGAGGGCGGCCGCCGCTCCTGTCAGGATGCCATGGTTTTCATCCAGTACTGCAGACCTCTTGACGCTGTCGACCTTAAGCGGGTAGACTTCGTCCCGGAGCACCCGGGCTCCCGTTCCGATCTTTTCCTCCGCCACTCTCTTGACCAGGTGGTGCTCGGCTTCATCGCGACACGCGATCCTGATCCTGTTGGGGTCTCTTGGACTGACAGTAACCGCGCGACAGCGCCAGTGAGTGTGATCATCCATCGTTCGGATTTCTTTCTCGATCGTGGCCCTGATTGAGCCTGCGGATTTCTTCTGGTTTTCACTTTCGGTCATCTTCGAGGTATCTACCGTGCAGTATAACGTGTCGGTGAAGGTGGATGGTGTTGTGTTCAGTGTTGAGAGGCTCCGTATGTTGCTTGGATGACTGGTCGGAGGAGTGCGCGCGACATCTGCATAGGAAGGGGAGCTGATGGGAGCGGGGGCGCTGATTTCCTCGCGTAAGGACTGAATCTCGCGCAGGATCTCATCGTGGTTATTCTGAGAGTATGTCTCGAGGTGGGATTGCGGTGTCGCGGGTCTATCTGCCAGGGTCTGTAGCTCGTGTCGGACTTCTGCAAGGGCGGCACTAAACTCTTCTTTGAGGGCGCTAAATTCTTCTTTGACTTTTTGAAGCTCTTCCTTGTGTAGTTCATCTCGCTGTCTGATCTCCTTTCTGAGTTTGACAAGTTCCTTCAATAGTTCCGACGCGTTCGGGTCCTCGCTCTCTGTTGATGATTCAGATGCGACCGCTTCACGTTGGGCGACTGGCTTGCTCTGGGTCTTCTTCTTCTGCTGGGAACGCGCATTGTTTTGTTCGATACCGAATTCTTGCTCCTGGGCATAATTATTAGGCGGTCTGGTGGAGCGTCTCGGCCTCAATAAGCGCGGTGGTGAATTTTCGTGTTCATTGCGGTCGGGCGGTTCAGGGGCTCGTGTCTCGGCCCGTCCCGTCATTTTCCAACATATACAAGATGTTCTGCCTCAAGGTTTACAGTCCTCAAGGTTTTTCACAATATGTCTCACTGATATGTACCTGTCAAAGATCCCGAGGATATACAAACGCGCTCGAAATCCTAGACCAGGTACAGTAGAATTCGAAAACAGTTTACCCCTTAGGCATAGACTCTTTGTTTCCCAGGCTGTAATTAAAACAGAACTTAGCCCAATTCAACCTAGTTGTAAACAATCCTAGCCTATGACTGGATAATAATTTACCGCCCACCCGGAAAAACACTAATCCTGTTTCGGGCACGACCCGACAGACAAAAAGTGTTTGCCTAAGGGGTAACCTATTTTCGAATTCTACTGTACTAAGTCGTATCTTGGTCTAATGGTGAAACCAAATCCGAAGCGACCCATCACAACTGTAGAGTGAGATCTTCTTCCGTTTTAGACTGGACTTTGTATGACGCTTTGGTCAAGTTAGATCTAATCTGGTACAGTGTGCATGGATGGATGGGTGACGTTCGATCCTCGCAACTATATAACCCTGAATACTCAAGTAGGTTGTACGACTCTTTAGACTAGCCTGGACCCTGGCCGAGGCAATCTGGTATGTAACGCGAGGGGAAATACACTTCGTGTTGGATGCAAGCATTGTACCAATTGCGTGGAGAATACCTTGGGTTTCAGTAGTGACCTCGTCTCGATTCTCAGCATCCAGATTAATCCCCAACTTTTTACCACGTATATATTAGTCAAGAATTGTGCAGACAGAGCGATAATGCATCAAGTTATATACCAATTCATGAAGGAGACTTCGGCAAAGGGGTTAGTGGCAGACATGGCCTATATTTCGTCCTGCTTTTCACGTTCGACAGTCAATCGTTCGTGTGTTCAGCCACAACCAGAAGTTATTTAAATATCGCAGCTGCAATATAGTAGCACTCTCCTATAAATTCCTACCTGCTTAAGACAAAGCTCTAGACCATCGCCCTATGTACAAGCCATATCCCATTGAATCTAAGTTGAGGAAATTTGCTCATTGAATTAAATGTTTCCACACGCTTTGACGTTCTGGGGTGTTGAATACAGGAGGCTTGGGGAAGACCAACTCAGCCGAAGAACCTAACACATAGTCCGCGGGGGTTTTGTGGACTGCGGGCTGAGGACGCTCTTTCTGAGATATCATTAGTTTCCAAAAGTTGTTCTTTTCCTCAATCCGGAACCTACCATTTGCTCCCTAGTCGGAGCAGGCATCTCGGGATGGGAGCTGTATGTATAGATTCGCTTATTAGGCATTTCCATTATCAACCAACTTCGAATCGCGTATAAGCGCCAGAAGTCATTGTGGCGCCGAAGAAGATTGTTACGCCGTTTGCGGAGTTGCTCTTGCTTGACACGACTCAAGGTGGATGTCATTTACGCGGCCTATGAACCTCGGGATCCTTGAAGGGACTGTTTTAGTAGCTCGTCGTGATAAGAAAGGAGGGCTTTCCCAATTTAATATATCTCCATCATGTACAGGATATAAAAGCTGTTCACTTGGAGCCCATTTTAAGCCCTCGAATTAGCGAGCACTTTAATGTTGGGTCGTTTATTTTCAATTATTGCTTCCCTAACCATGTATCTTAGTAAGGGCAAGGTAAAAAGATGAACAGGATGACACTTAATACGTCGGATTATTTCGAGTTGGATTAGATTTAGCTGTCATGATAGTGATCTGTAGCTGCACCAAATGAAGACCAAATGCCCTGGTCAAAACCAAGTCTTGACCAGTGCATATTTATGGTGGAAAAGAATAAGTGAGTAGCGTAATATTTCGAGTTAATATTCATCTGCCTATGCAAACGGTAGGGACCGAGCAACAAAGAAAAAAATCTAAAATCATTTATCCATGTTTTCCATTTAATACGCGATGAAAAGATAACCTGAACAGTAATGTCAATCAAAACAATCCGCCATTTTGCTGTTAGCTGGGAGGATAATCAACTTTGACCTGAGCGTGAAAGAAGCCAACCTTTTGAGGAATTATCCGACTGGTACCTCGTTGATTGACCATCCACTGCTCCATCTACTGTATCTAGTTGTGTATTTGTTTGGGGTCTGGTATGGCAAAGCGAAGGGTATTGGTGACTCAGCTGGCCGTTGGGGAAAGCCCCAGCCTCCGAGATTTTGGCCTATGATAAAGGGTCGGGTATCAACTCATGGCCGTTTCCGATTACTGTGGGGCTATCATATTGTTGATTTGAGGATAACTAATTGATTTGATATCTGCAAGTGTGATGACTCATACTGTATGAATTCTCTAGCAACCAAGGGATCCCGCACCCACGAATGCGCCTTTGAGGGACGCATCAGACAGAGGACACGCCTGCAGCAATGCAAACCTGCACCCTGTTGCTCGATACTGTAAACGCTACATATTTGACACAATGCTTTCCGGTAAATCTAGAAGTGACATACAAACAAGCGCTTGTATCCTAGTTAGTTGCTTGGCGCAGCATACAATTACTTCGAAGAAAATAAAAGTCCGATCGCATCGATCGCCCTTCCCTAAGCCTAAAACACACGCACAGACAAACATACGTATATACAGAGAGAAACATACATAGACATCTAGTCAATGGCTCTCTGAATCCAAGTCTCTTTGGTCACACGCTGGTTGGCCCTGACCAGACGAAGTACAAAGTACTCCGCCAAGCGGTTCTGAAACAGCCCGGCCCCTCCCTCTGCTGCGGCCCAACCATGTGACTGCACTTAGCGCCCTTCAAACCTTGCGACGAAAGGGATAGATCAAATTCATTTTTTGAGCACTAAAATACCCTGATTTTCCTTCATCCCCGAGGGTTTGATAACTCCCTACAGACAGACGCGAATCTTTCATATCTGCCAAGATTTCGGACAAACCTTAGAGGAAAACAAGACCAGATCTAAGAGCCGAGATGATGGACCTTCACCGAGCAGCGGCTCTAGGTGACACGGACGCCATTTTGACTGCGGCTGAGCAAGGATATGATGTCAGCACCCCTGATACCGACGGGAAAACGGCTCTCTGGTTTGCTGTACAAAACGGCCATTTGGATGCTTGTGGTCTTCTCATCACCCGGGGAGCAGATATCGATGCCCAAAACCTAAGTTTCCTCGAAGTTGCAGTTCAAGGAGGCCATGCAGATATTGTCACTATGCTGTGGCCGCATTGCAAGGCAGAAAAAGAACAGCAATCTCTAGAAAGTGCCATCTCCCTAGGCTTCCATGACATCGCAGACTTCTTGATTGGGACCGGCGAATTCGGATACCAGCACTTTCAAGCCAATGGAACCGATTTGCCCATGAGGGAAGGATTTCCCGAACGAGACACTGCAGCTTTTCAACAATGGGAAAGATTTCTTTTTGTTCGAAATGGAGAGCAGCTGCCTTTGAACCATTTGTTTTTTGACTATGCACTTCTGCTTTCTACGAAGGCAGATCGCAACGCAAGGCTTCGATTAGTGCACTTACTGCTTGACAAATCCAACCCCATGGCCGAGGTGAACTGCAGGATCAAGATCAACGGCCATTTTGAGACACCTTTGACGGCAGCGGCCGAGGCAGGCAACTTGGAAATCCTCGCTGTTTTGATTGATCACTCAAACACAAGCTTGACTATTTGTGGCAAGTATGACTGGCCCGCCTTTCTTCACTTTATAGCCTGTGATCAATCTATCATCACGGAAAAAGGCCGGGCGATCGCACGGAGATTGTTTATCGAGATTCACCCTGACCATTTTTTGATTGATAGCAGGGGAACTGGTTTGGAACCTGTTTTCTCAAATGTGCTTCGGTTTGGCGATGACACGATTGTAAAGCAGGTAAACTAAGCTTGTCAAAGGTGCTGCAGGGACTATTATACTACCACTTCTGATCAGAGCGAACGAGCCTAGTGGTCTGAAGTGGATCCTACACTGTGATATCATGCACGCGACCAAACCGCCACCGATCCTTTGGGTCTTGCTTTGCGATCATCTTCTTCCTCATCCGCATTCGAATGCCCTGACCTTGTTTACTCGAGTGGCAGAGTACCTAGTAGGGAAGGCCATCTGGAGCCGGATCATACTGAAGTGTCTCGACGCCCGCGATCTTTCTTTGGTCAGGCAAGTCTTTTGCCATCTACGTGAAGTGACCGAGGATACGATCGTAAGCCTTTCAGAAGCGTCTACCGATCAATCTCTGTTCGAGGAGTGTGCCAATCACGGACTTCCCAACGCGGCATTGTGGCATTACACTCATCGCCGCATATCAGGAAACCCTGCCTTCAAAAATCTTCTTTCCTGTCCCAGTATTGCCCCGAGTAGGTCAGACCCGCATGAAGAGCTTCAGGGATATAACTAGCCAGGCACAATGTCTTCCATTCAGAGCGCCTCTGGGACGTCGATGTCGACTGCCTTTCGGACCCGTTGTTCACGACACATTTCCAACCCCGTGAAATGCCATGGATGATGTGGTGGAGAACAATCATGGCGATTAATTATGTCTCAAGAGCCGAATTTGGGAAAGGGCCATCTCTCTTGAGCCGTAACAAATCATGACGTTCATCTTGTGGATTATTTTCTTCGTAGTCCATATTTGAATGTCAATTCGTAATACGTTTACAAGCATTGCCCTCTTATGCATGAACTTTGGAACAAGTGCGGGCAGATTGGAAATATTATATTGGGGTATAATGAGTTTGATTTGAATTTGTGTGAAGTTGCAAACGGCTTTTAGTCAAAAGTTGTGATTGTGTGGAAATCAGGCTGTACAAATTACTGGATCGAACCTCCTTAGAATAAAGTGTCTAAAAGCTCTGTATTCACACTGTTATCCGGTATATGAAAAACGAGAGAGCAAAGGGGCATAAGAAGCCAGCATGAAAGGTCCTGGGTGATGCTTAGAGATTATGTCACAACTTCTCTGAGGTAGGGTACAGTAGCGACTAAATACCGTTGTAATTCATGGGTATGAAATGACTTGTTATTTCAGAGGGATACATGTGCCTATATATACAACAATGAGCCAAGTTGATTGGAAATCAACTTGGTCGTCCGTATAGACACTTCGGGGCAAATTCCGACGGTGCGGCTTGGTTTCTGATCTGCACCAGCCTCATATCACAATAAATACAAAGAGCAATGAAGATCACGTGCAGCCCCCGTGTCTCGAGCAAAGAAAATGATATTGCTCAAATTGGGGATTGTCAGTCAACTCGTAACAAAAGCCCGAAAGTGACAATACATTATAAACAGATAATCCTCTCGTCACATAAAGGTTTTAGGGTGGAAGTTTGAGTATTGATTTGTTCTTAGTCAATAACCTGCAAAACGAGGTCGTGAATCATGAAAATGCCGACGTTTGCCATGTAGTCTTCTAGGTGCTGGAATCCTGGATGGATAGGCTATGTGCAAGACATTGTCAGCTGTCTATCGTAGTATAAACATATTATTCGTAGTTGACTGACCTGGCTTCGTATCCGCGCCGGCCCTCCTCGGACGAAGGTTAGCAGGAGAGCTAGGATCAGTTATCTTCTATACTGTTAGCCGTAAATTCTTAATCTGAAATAGAAGAGTTCTGATAAGGGGAGGTTAAACTGAACCATAGGATTCTTTTGACTCTCAAAAGGCCTTGGGTGGATTACAAGACCAAATATCTAGTATGAGGATGAGCACGGCCTTCGATAAGGTATAGATAATGTAACTTACCAAGCTGACAGCCAATGCTAACGTTACCCAGATAGCTGTTTTAGAGATCATGGCTTTCTGGGACATCCGATAATCGTGAAGACTCAATTGCTTTCTGTCTTAACAGAGAATTTTGAGAAATTAGTACATCAAGGTATCAGTCTTAAATTTATATTTTAGGGAGACTTCGGCCGTTTACGTTGAAAACATAATTTTTCTGAAGCGTATTGTGTGACCGAGCTTACCAAATAGAATGTAATCAGTCAAATGACGGTCTATGCTATTGGAGTTTAAAAAATGAAATAAGCCAAATGTTAATCTATCCAATTTGAAGCCCTATTTTCTGAGTATTCAGAAATCGACGACGGTGCGTCGCTTTTGCCAGGACATATAATTTAAAGAAGCAAATTATGATGACACCAGGTTTCGGATTAGGTACTGTAAAAGAGCCCACAATTGTAGGGCCAACGTTGGCACTTTTGCGGGCAATTTATAAGATGCTTACGTTGACGAGGCCATAAATTATATGCGATAGCCGATAGCGAAGGCACAAGGACACTTTTTGAGGATGCTATAAGTACACCTACCATTTACCTCACAATCTTGCATTGGCCGCGCTTCTTATCCCCACGCGATAAATATGACCGACATCTCTCTTTCCTCCAAATCTCATCGGGAGTTTGGATTAGCTACCTTTCTTTTATTTTCCTTATTCAAAACTACGCCATTGGCGGTCATACTTACTTACTCGAAGGCTACTTTTGCCTCGCCAAAAATGGATCTTTGGTCCGCTTGCTGAGTTATGGTAGTATAATTGGGGATATCTGCTATGTGCTGAAAACAGAAGAGCCTCACAGAATGAGAATGACACCGTCTGAGTCTTCAATACCTTTCGTCATATGGTCGTTATGCTAATCTATCTGTAGAGAACAGTTCTCGCGTGTATCTCTCGGATTTGTCACGAATCTAGTAGATACTGCATTAATTTTGCCGACAAAATCAAGGGCTGGAACAACTACCATTACGGAGACATTCCATGTCCACGACAATTTACCAAAAGCGGCACTGGAACCTGTCTCCCAATCCCATGGTATTAAATCATCCTCTGATGAAGAGATTTCCGATACTTTTTTGGAGAAAGGCTTAGAAAGTGAAAGATCAAAGCAGACTTTCTCGTTCCTAGAGCTACTATCAACAACAAAGGACAAAGCACCAGCAGTAATCCTTTTGAATGACTACTCTGCCAAGCAGACGATAGCAGCAGATGCGCATAAACGTTCTAAATTGCCTATGAAGTGGGAAGGCAGCCATGATGTGAATGAAGAAGCCGAACCATTTAACCCATCATCATCGTTCGTTTCCGCCACAAAGGATTTATCACCAGTTCAAATTGCGACTGATTTTGTGTGTGACAGCACAATTATATTGTGGACGAGTAGAACTGTCGCCCCGTCGGCAGCTAAAATCATGAGTCTCACGGAAGTTTCCAGCATACCATCATATTTTCCCCACCTTCACATGCCTGTATCAGGGAAAGAACCATTCAATCCTTTTCATACATCTCCTCACTCAATGGAAAAATTGATAAAGCCGATGAAGCAAGTACCTTCGCCAGAGAACTTTTCAGGTAGAGTAGGAGAAACACCTTCGCATGGGCATTACCATGGACAGACGATAGCGAAGCAACCTCCACCAATTTCAGCGAAAGTGACATACGCTGAAATAACTTCTGGTTACTATTCTGCATCCTCTTCCGAGGGAGGCATCCGGTTAGCATTAGCATCCGCTAAGCCTTTTCAGACATACATCGAGACGAATGCCGCACATGCGAGCCTTTCGGAATACGGGACTTTACAAACCGCTTCCTCAAGCCATCAGATAGTCATTTCCGTTGTGTCATCCGCATATCCTTCCAGGGCGATTCCTTTTACGAGTTCTTCGTTACCAGCCACTCCAACTCTCCTAGCTGCAAAAGATGTTGAGATGAACGAAAGCAAAGCATCGCAAGTTCTTCCAAAGCAAAGTCTAAAATTTATTCTGGGAGTCGTGTCCGGTGCCTGTGTGGTTATTGCGTGCATTTTTTACCTACATAAACCCTGTTATCGGTGGGTCCGTCAAAGTAGAAGAGGCACAATTTTGATTGCACATATCCCAGAGGAATATGATGCAAACACACAGCTTCACTTCCAGAATTACGACCAGCTGGAAGTTTCACGTTTCTCTTTAGATTCATGATATATCTGATAGACAGAAAATTTTCTAAAGGAATCATGAAAATTATTCCTACCTCAGATTTCAGGGCACTAGTACTGATATCCAAACCAAAACGTTGTTCAAGACAGATGAAAAGCGTGAGGAGGATAATGAAGGATACCTAGAGTGAATGGCTGTCCCCATATCCTTGTATCTAAATATGACATGGTGAAGGTGGGCTTACGGATTCTGATATCTGATTTGGATTCACGACATTCCTTTCGACCAAGTTCGCAGTGAACAATCATTTCCTTGGTCTCTACAGTACTTTTCGAAATCAGCTATACCTCCAAACTCTTTCTTCTTGATTCGGAGAAACCAATCCCGACGCGCGCTCGGCCGGGCGAGGCCACCGCCTCGAAATTCTGGCAAACTGTCATTGTAATGTTTGTATGGTCAGCAACGAGTCATCGTCACAGTACCGTATATTACATAGAGCCACTTGGAATCGCTTGGTGGATCTCGTGATCTTGCCAGATCGCCAGCTAGCTTCCCCTCTCCCGTTGACCATGTTATGCCTACTTCCACCCATTCTTTCCACATGCAGCGAACGGTGGTCTTTGCTCGCCAGTCATAGTCCAATAGCCTCTGCTTACCTCATAGAGGAACTAAACCTGGCTGGGAAAGATGTTTTCGTCTATCTCATGAGTTCTGCTATCTAGTGTACTTCTCGTTCGTTACCAGCGTCAATCCTAATCTGGTTCTCCCATCTTAAATTTTTTTACAAGGATCGTGATCATTGTGAGAGATGAACCAATCTCGCCTCGGTGATGCAACCCAGTTGACGGACCACGAATCATAGGAAGACTACTCGCATTACGTCCCAACGCCTAACTATTGTGGCAGCCTCTTCGTAGTACTATCGGACCTGAACTCTTCCTCATCTAGCGTAGTTAAGAATAGCTTAGACTCATCAAGCACACCACCCTCACTCAACCTCAAAATTTTCCAGTTGTGTAAGTAGGAACACGGGAGAGCCTACGACATAGACCCACCAACGTGCATCCACTACCAGATAGAGTAACGAGTGACATTCAATAATAAGAGATACTGTATCCATAACGGTATCACAAAATAGTCAGGTATAGATAAGAAGAGCAAGCTACTAAGTGAGGATGACCGGCCACTCGAGCAATAGCATAATGATAACTTTGCATAGATAGAGAAAGGGAGAAAGTCCTTGGTCCCACTTACCTAAGCGAAAAGATGCCGAGCCATGATATAGCTAGGCTCAAATTTCAAATCGCATGTGTACATTATCGATGGGAAATACCGACGATATAATGATATCTTAACAACCACCCACGATACTGGCAGAACAAGGTGGTCTGGAGACCATAGCTCATCATCGAAATCACTTTCACCGAAAACTAGTACCAGTGCAAAAAGCGGCATGGTTATAAATAGCGATCGTTACTAACAACAGATAATTACCACTGCCATTGTGGTCGGGGGTTGGGTTTGTTTGGCGCACCCGGACTCGTGAAGGCTTTGGTCGTTTGAGTTGTCCTTACGTTTGAAAGGACATGAAATGATGGTGATAAATTCGAAAACTTGTCTTTACAGTCTGAACAGCTTCCCGGTATCCATTGATAATTTGCGACGCTGATTGATTGATGATGATGGGCTGTGACGTCATTAATGAACATGTTCAGCATGCTGAAAGGGGCCCTTCGAAAGCACAGGTGGTTGGTTTTCCATGAAAAACAGGATGTACTACTGCATCAAATAAACAGGCCTGCAATGGTTGCGCTCACTTGATGATGGCGCCATCAACCCATGACACCAATGTGACGTTACCATGTCAAGCCTTGACAAGCCTTGACAAGCCAGTACAATTCAAGATATAGCTAGCAAGCCATATACTAAGTTCTTGTAAAACACTCCACTCTCCACTATTGATGGGGGGGGATTGTAGACAACGTCATAAAAACATCAACTTTCGGAAATGCTAAACTTGATATCTGAAGAACACAAGCATATATCATATATTAAGCTCACGGCTTACTATCTAGAGATCATACATTTGAACTGCCCATCGCAATTATCACAATGACCAACAATCAGAAAACTTTCACTCTTTCCAACGGCGCTCGGATTCCTGCCATTGGTCTCGGAACCTGGCAAGACGAGGAGGCCCAAGAAGCAGCAGTCCTTGCCGCTCTCCACGCAGGTTATCGCCATATTGATACGGCAAGATGGTAGCCCTCTCCCTCGAGAACTCAATGCAGAGAATGAGGCTAACTTCCATAGCTATGGCACTGAGCCTGCTGTTGGCAAAGCCATAAAGCAAAGTGGCATTCCTCGGGAGGAACTTTTTGTTACCAGCAAGCTCTGGAACAATAAGCATCACCCGGAGGATCTTGACCAAGCAGTGCAACTTTCATTGGATGATCTTGGTCTGGAATATCTCGACCTGTTCTTGATGCACTGGCCTGTTGCTTTCAAGCGTGGAGATGATCCTTTCCCGTCCAACAAAGACGGGAAGCTGATCACTGATAATATCGACTATCTCGATGTAAGCCTCGTTGGATGGTAGCCTCGAGATTGCCTACTGACTAGTTAAAGACATATAGAGCCATGGAAGGCCTTGTCAAATCCGGTAAAGCTAAGGCTATCGGAATTTCCAACTTTTCCCAAGAGGAAGTCGAACGCATTCTTGACAACGTGGCGATTAAACCGGCCGTGCACCAGATGGAGCTCCACCCCTGGCTTCAACAAAAGAAATTCTACGACTTCCATCGGAAGAATGGTATTCATGTGACGCAGTTTTCACCATTTGGAAACCAAAATGAAATCTACGGTTCTCGCGAGGAACATGGTCAGCTGGTGAATGATCAGACCTTGGTAGAAATCGGAAAGAAGTACGGAAAGACCTCAAACCAAGTCGCTTTGGGTATGTGTGCCACTTATGCCGATATGATGTTTCTCCAACTAACCAACCCTTTCAGCCTGGGGTATCGCACATGGCCGTTCCGTCATCCCCAAATCAAAGTCAGCTGAGCGAATCAAACAGAACTTTGATATTGCTTTCGAGTTGGAGCCTGCAGATATTGAAAATATTGATGCGATCGACAAGAAGCTCCGTTTCAACGACCCAAGTAAAGACTTTGGCTACGAACTATACTCAGGGCTTGATGGGAAATAGAAATGAGGAGAAATGAGGAGAATTTCGATTGACCTTTGTCAGGATGGCGGAGTCCGGTAAGTACTTGATCTCAGGAAAAGAGATGTGGCGGCGTAGTCGACCTGGGCATTCAATCATTATATATAGGTATAACCTCGGCCTTCTCTAATCAATGCGTTACAAAGTGGTCTAAAAAGCCAATGGGAATCTTGAAATAATAAGATTGATTTCAGTGGGTATCATAAAATGTAATCCGAAAGAATTACCTAAGCTCACTGCGGATAAGATAGTTCGCTGTTGCAGTCGTTGAATCTCCAGGCCATACATAAATCGACCTTTATGTATTCATTGCCTACGACATTTCTTCCAACATAAATAGAAGGCAAAAATGTGGCGTTGGCGGGAATCACTTGGACCAACAGAGAGGCCGAATATGACAGTGATGTTTATTGATTGTTGCTTCGTTATATTGATGTTTCAGCTATATGGATTGAGGGGCACACCATGTAGCAAGCGTATAGCACTTTCCCGTACAAATACATCTAGTCATGCCTTAATACTGTACTGTAAGATACGCCTATCAGCCTAGAAAGCCCGGCCCCCGGGCCCCGGGGGTCTGAAAGGCGGAGCCTTCGCTTTCTATCCAATCAGAACTCACGACCCAGGGATTTATTTTCCGGGAATCAAGTCACAAGAGTGCGGAGGTATAGCTGATTTCGAATAATACTGTAATCAAATGACAAAAGTTTAAGCATAGTGATCTTGACCTAGAGTAAATGGTGCAGACAGAATAACATTCAGGATGCAGATATTCGGTGATTTGGATTGATTCTCAGTGGGGGGCAGTTTCCGCGGTTTCCCAAGAATACCAAAGGACCAGGTATTGAATTACTTGGCGGCCGTTGAGATTTACGGTCCTTTTGGTGATTGTTTTGAGAGCTTTGATGCCTTTAATGCTCTGTTTCTAAACGATTATGTCAAAGTCGGTATCGCGTCAAAATGGATGTTGGCTTACCGTTACGACATCTCCGATCTCGTCATTAAGAATATTGTAGCCTGAACCTTCAGGGTCTGAGGACCTGATTGAAACGCCTGAGAGGCTTTCAGAGTCTGATACAACGAATTCTCGATCTTCGCTCGTCTCTGACGGGACATATTCAGACTCAAGGTCCGAATTCGTGATGTCCTCGACATCGGAACCACCAGAATTCAGAGTGGTGCCGCTGTCAGAGGATTCGTTGCCTTTTGGTGTATACTCCGGCAATTTCATTGCGGTCACGCAATGGGGAGGAAGCTACTGGAGGAAGCTACTGGGAGAAGTTACTGGGGAATCGATGTGATATATAAACCCAGGGTCTCTATCCTTTTTTCCATTTCTTCGTATTGCATGGAATCCATCATTTCAATGGCAAGTTTACTGGGGGAGTCAGGTCTGCTCAATCTTTCATCTGTTAAAACCCATCACAAAGGCCATGCAAGAAGTAACACGAAGGGCATTCTTCTACTTACAGTGCCATCTCTTTCTCAGAAGCTGCGGTAAGACAAAAATACAATTTGGATTTATGAGTCAAATTTGGAGTAGCGAGGCAATGCAAATGGCCAACGATCCAAATACTTTTTCTTTCAACACTGATAAAATAATCTACAAACAATTTGATTATTACCCAAACCAGGAGGCATAATCCAATTATGCGATAGGTAATTACGGAGGGCATTGTGCTGAATGTTCCTCGGGCGCACTTCGTAACATTGTGAACCTCTTTTGTTGACATAACCAACTAATGCTTTAATCATGTTAGTCACGTGATGTCGCGCTCACCGTCGCGTCCCCTTCCCTCTCTCTTTCTCGAACTACCCTCTTCAAAGTCAACATGGTGGCAGACAGAGGACGGTGTCATATCAGAATAAATAAGATCGAGGGTAATTTTAGAACGCCCTTTCGGAAATGGCCTGAACGGCTTTCGTGCTACGTTCATCTCGATCTGTGAAGGCGCGGACTTGCGCTCACCAGACGAGGCCATCGATCGGCTTAAGCGGGAGGGTGAGGCACAGGAATTCATCATGAACCCTGCTTTTTGCTAACTAGAGTGCAGATGTGCAAGATCTCGCCTCCAGCCTCCTAACAGCCCTTCAAATCCTTCCCACCGCCCGTCTTCTGCCGTCCAATTCGGGAGGCATCGTTCGGAGTAACCTGCTTCGACTCATATCCGCCGTCGCACCAAATGATTTCGACCTCGAAAGAATCAAACCACTGCTCAAAATATCTATTGTGAACACGTCAACAGACGAACAAATATGGAATCTTGTGGACGCTGCCACAGTGGAATCTACGCCGCCCCCTCGAATGATTGCCTCCTCACTCCAGCAAACTCCATGGCTCTACAAGACGAGTAGCTTTGCGAACTCCTCGGAATACTGCCAAGATGTTGACAGGGTCTTCAAGTCGGAGCTTGGACCTCTGTATGTAGGGCTCCCGCATTTTCGATCAACATTTTTTTGGAGTCGTCAGCGGTCTTCAATCTGCATCCGATGCCGTATTTCAAAGATGCACGGAAGGCAGCAATGCGGCTTTTGCAGATGGGTGGAAAGGATGGCCAAAGGTCGCAAACCAAGAAGAGTTTTGAGCTGGTTTGCAGATCTGAGCGAGAAACTAGTAACATTCTCAGTAGACTACAATCATTTTTCGGCACACCTACGAAGGCCACTCGCACAGCCCAAAAAACCCGTCCAGGGTTCCACGACAGAGCGCAAGCTAGACATCGGGTTCGTGAGTGAAACTAGAGCTGGAAAGGACACCCGATGTCAGTGGTCACAGATTCTCGTGCCCGGAGAGCTAAAAAGCAACCCTGAGCCGACACCGCTTCTAAGGCATGGCTTGACTTGGGAAGGTACGCTAGGGAACTTCTCGCAGCTCAAGATAACCGTCGCTTTGTCATCTTGTGATTAGTGTTTGAAAGAAGATCTCTATGTTTCCAGTATGGAAGGCGAAGTCGGGCGCCATAATATACAGCACCATACACACAGAGAGTTTTTCTATGCTAAAATACAATAGGTAGCAGGATGGAGCACTCTGGATCATGTTCTGGCCGCATGTGGTCGTGGGCGCTAGTGGTGCTGTGGTTTTCGCTGCTCCCAGCCTCGCAACGGCCCTAGTTTTATCGAGTATGGGATTCACAACAGGCGGAATTCACGCAGGTATGTACAAATTTGCAGGAATCAACATATTAAACCTTGTTTCCCGCGCCCCGAAGCTCGAATAACCATTCATGCCTAGGTTCAGTAGCAGCAGTCGCTCATGGTTTGTTCGGAAATATTGCAGCGGGGAGTGCTATGGCATAGGAAAGAGCCCTGGTGCAGGAGGAAGTGGCCTTGTGATTGTCAATGGAGCTGCACAATTGGGGGGGTGGGGGGGGGTGCTGCGATTACTGTGGTAAGTGCTACTTTAGCGTGGATCAAAGCCAAAATACGAACACACCCTATGCAATGCAAGACCAGGATTCAGGCTACACGCATGGGGCCATTCGTTTGTTGGAGTCGGGTAGTCTCTTTATGTTGAAAATGGGTTTCGGTGCGTACGATATCCAATTAAATGTGCGTGGTTATCTCCAGGTGAGTTGACTAATGATGAGCGGCGAATCAAATATCAACAGCCCTGGAAGTATGAGGCGCGGGAGGGCCCACTGTCAGTAAAAGACAGTTTGAGATGCTACTTCCATTACAACGGCGCTGTTGACATTTTTCTCGTGAGAAATCCGAAATCGACTAGCAGGACTCGAACGGTCTGTACAAGAACACTCCAGCTGGGTAAAGGAAGAAGTCCCTCGTAAATACTTACCTCTTTGGATGACTGGCTGATAGATAGTCATTGCTACTGAGCCGAGTAGGACAGTCCAGACCGGATCTCCCACCATGGCCTGTGAGATAAAAAGGTAAGGCTTCCGATGGACAAGACTTTTATCTCACAGGCAATGGTGGGAATTCCGGTCTGGATGTTTGCAACGTAAATTAAAGGAAACCGGCCTGTTAGTATTGAAAGAACTTTCACTCGACCAAGCTCTTAAGTTGTCTGAACGTACGCGGAGCCACTTAGGCGAGAACTCTACGAACGAGTACCACATGACTGCCTAATAAATAAAATTTGGCGATTTCACTTCAAGATAGTGACCTGGTTTCTCACCTGTTTGTGGAAAATCTATACAGAGGCTATTTGTGTACAGTAGTCCTATCCATGCACAACTTCCTATTGTTTGGGCTGTTCATACCTAGACCCTTTTCAAGTAATATTATAGTCTACAAATGCCTTTTTGCTAACCATTCTCCAGACAGAGACCACTGTTTCAAGGTTGAGTAAACTGACAAGCTTCAATGAATACCTAGTAGCCGCTTTTGAATAAGCGCAGTGTGTATATTATGAGGAAGCCGCCCAAATACTCCACCTTTTAATCAGCAAAATACCAAGTTTCATGGTGTCTGAGTTGGTCTTCGCCATGAGTTCCTTTTTCAAATTATCTGGAATACACTTTGCCACCAAAGGAAGGGCACTAATAATTCCAGTATACCTCGGATGCTTTTCTGAGAGCCCTTGCAAAATCGCCTCTTGAGCTCCATAATTTGGCAGATCCATCTGCTCTTTGAGATGATGCTGTAGCAGTTGAAACTGCCTTTTTATGCGATTTTTCGCATTGCCCCGAGAGCTATGATTGAGTAAGGGCTTTCGAAGTGTCTTCGTTATCGCGTTGCGACCAACTGGACTCATGAGGTGGTGAGGAGTCACCGAACAGGTTCCTCTCATAGCTGGATTTACATTTTCCAGGACGCGATGCTCCTGCTGTAACGTTCCATCATCTGAATTCCCCGGTTTCCTTTGGCTTAACTGGAGAAAGTAAAGGACTTCCTCGCTGAATTGCGAAATTGACAAGTGCTGCAGCTGTGTCTCACCGAGATGACTTGTGGAACGGTACATGGTGCCCTCTTGTTTCAGTGATGGGTGCAGCAGTAAATCATGGTCGTCACAGCCAACCAAAGGTGACATTAGGTCACTCATCTTGAGAAACGCAAGGGGGCTACTACAGTCATGAAGGCTTTGGGTTAACTTAGAGTTTGCCGAAGAAGCACTCGAAGGTGATAGACTTCTGGTAATGAGTTCCATCAGACATCATAATAAATTATAATCACCAAGTCTCGAGATAGCCCCATAGGCAGAGCCAGAATGTGTGATTACCAGTGATTCTGTGGTTCCGCTTGGATGGATTTATACTTGAAGCTAATGTGCTCGTTATATGTACTTACCAAGGAGCTTGCTGTCTCATAAGAAAATGACCATGCAGAATCCAGCATATTTCGAGCGGGTTTAGTGGGCGATGAGGTAATTGAGGACAATGAAAATTTTTTGTGATATCTGCAGGCATTAAAGACAACCACCACAAAGATACGTCGGCTTAGTTTCCTGACTTATGATATCTAGCAGTCGCAATTCTGACGACAGGAATTATTATCTTCCTGTTAGATGTAGTTTCGGCTGAAATTTCCTTGGAGCCTTTCTCCGTTTTCGTCTGCTAAGCACATACCCCAAGGGTTGACCCAGGAAGTTCTTCGCTCTATCATATTCCCTTTATCTACAGAAATGTTCCCAATGCGTCTAACTTGCTTTTTCATACAGACGCGCTCGAAATCAGTTTCACCAATTTGTTCTCTTTGATTGCTTCTCAATATCTATTTTTATCAACGCTAGGCCTAATATAGCTAGGGAACTTTCATTACCCTTTTCCTATTCGACAGTAATTGATGGGCTAGTCCAGATGTAGGCCGAGGTGGGTCTGGCCAAGACTTAAGAAAGAACCGAAGAGAATAACATGGTGAAACTAATTTCGAGCGGACCTGTACAGAACTCGGTTTCGCCTGTATTGCGCTTTCCTATTACGCACTGGAGCTTCATTTGACAAGGTTTATATATCGCACTTATTCTGCGGGCTTTCTCCCCCAGCTTGTTAAATAGGCTCAATCTACAAGCGAAAGGCCTTATATACATGGCGGAAGCTAAGAAGTTGTCAGGATATGGTGGCGGCCGACATCGCCTTCCATCCTGAAGACAGAGATATTCTCTCAAAACTTACTTGTATGACCCCTTGTCCAGATTTGTTTACTCTCGCATTTTTAGCTACGTTACGCAATCTAATGGTAAAATTATATGTAGAAAGAACTGTAGTAAGACGTTTATCACATATCCAAGAAGGACTGCACCCGCCCTATCGTGATCAGAACAGTAACAACCTAACCTAAGCAATATTGAACTCGCTTCATTTCACTTATCTATATTATGCGCTAAGTATATTACCCAGGTTTGTTCCAGACGCCCTGACTATATATCTTTCACAGCTATTCGTTATGACGTGCCAAGTAATCTATGCCATGGTGGAGATCGGTTAGGGTGGTGTCCGAATAGTATTTTGGGTCGAGACTACGCTGTCGTGCTCCGAGAACGACCAACGGTCCTGGCCAGTCATGAGTAACTGACCCAACGGATCCATCAGACGCGGAGGCGTACACAGAACTGGTTCTATTCGAGCCATCGATCAAAAATGCGTCTCGAAAAGAAAGCTCAAATTTCCACTCATGCCAAAAGAAGCTCGGGATTCAACGCGAGTTCAGCAATGCTCGAGATGTCTTGGGTTCCGAAGGCACCGTCTGACGCGGAGATTATGCGATGGCTCATGCTATTGAGAGGAAAGTCTCAGACATAGAACTCCAGTGATACATGCCTGAAATTTTCAGTGCTTCGAAATTAAAGGGAGGGACATAATTCGCTATGGAACAAAGTGTCTGAGGATGATTGATATATTCCGATGTAATGAAACGTATGGTAATATATGTATGGTTGTCCATTCTCTGCATAAATTGGAATACCAGGGTTTCTTGTTACGCAGGGTTTCTTGTTACGCCAACCATACAATGAGGTCTAGGAAATGTGGAGGAGGTGCCTATGCACGACCGGAGCTGTCTGTTGATACATCACCTTGCTTACCTGCTTGCACAAGCACGAGGGGATCCCCTAAGAAATGAGGGGCTGGATCCTCTTAGGAGGACCAGCGATTAGTCTGAATACCATCATACCCATATCAGGCACATCCCACATTCCCCACTCGTATCCTATCGTATCAGGACACCCCCAGGGGCTGTCCTAACAGTTCTATACATATCGAAAATGATTTTGAGGCCAGGGAATTCTACTCATCTGCTGTACAAGAAAACCCATGGTGAGAGTTAAGTAAATTCAGTGTTTGCAAACCATTACCTGATGGCTTTACGGTCACTTCGAGATAAGTACGCGATAAAATAATACTTTGCTTATAATACATAACTTGCTGTCAGGGTGGGGCATCAAATTCCACACAAGCGGAATGCCTCAACTAGATATTTACACATTGTGTAACAAAGCCGAGGCCTCTATAGTTATAGTTGTAATGTCGAAAATGTCAGTTTATACCTTGAAGGGTTTACTTTCATTTAGGATAATGATACCTGGATGCCGTACGCACAACTAGGCATCTCATCACTGTTGGGCTGCATAAATAGTCAAAGCTTGAAGACATTCTGGACATAGAGAAATCTGTGAGTGTTAAACCCCCGACTTCCGTTATACAGACGCGTTCAAACTTACAGTTATCGCCTAGATCGCAAAGTTTGGAGCTTCAGTGAGATGCGTTAGTCCCCTCTCTTCGAAAATGGAATTACTCAACCCCAATGCACCGGAATGTCTTATCCATGCAAATCACCTAATTGAAATTCATCGTCACTTATGGCAGTCGTACGTATCAAAATCGACGGAATGTCGACTACTTGGCGAGACATACCAACAACTCCAAATCATCAACATGCAGCTATGCCAAGAACAAGAAAATTTAAGATGTCGCCAGGCAGATCAAGATTTACTTGTGGCGTTCTCTATAGACGCACTTCAGACGGCCAAGAGAATACTGAAGAATATTTCCGAAATCTGTGATAATCATTCTCTTGGTGTCAAAAGTTTAGTTGGATAGGTGGCTTGGAGGGATGGGATACGCCGGGTCAATATTTCATAAAAGTTTGCCTGTAACCCTATGCCATAGAAGAGGAATGAAACCGATATTGACTAGCACCAGTTCATATTACTTTACCAAATATCAAATTCCAACAAATAAACCCAATGATTCCTTCAAATGCAATTCTAGGCAATATAGTTACTAGCAGTGCAGTATGTAGGTAATCTTCGAGCTCCCTGAACATTTGGCGAAGTAGTCTAATTTGGGCTGCTAGTAATACTTTGCTGCACGTACCGAAGCTCCTGAGTGAATATAATTAACAACAGCTTGGCCGCAGGCGACGCTATGATAATTTTGTCATTTATGGATACTTGGCTTCTTTTACTATGAGGTGACTAACAGGCATTGAGTAACTCCTAAAGGCCTGCTTTATAAATCGCCATCCAGCTGTAGGTCCCATTATCCGTGGCTTTCACACCTCTCCATTAGCATACATCCTTGTTTGAGCACCTGAATCGTTCTGCACTACATATGTCAGTTGACCGTGTCTATGAAACGGGACGACCCCGGTTGTCTAACAATCATAAGAAGGTAAGCTCAGACGACACCGCTCAAGCTGACTAAGATCGGTCCTAGTCTCGAGTGCAAGCAACTTCAAGTCCGGTTATTGGTACTCCGATAGGCACATTCATCATCTCGGGCCAGTCGATTCCTTTTGCACATACCGATTGTGCTGCAGTGGCAGTCTAACCGCATTCTAGTCACGAGTGTGAGACGGCTAGCAAATTATCAATAACCGAGAGGACATCTATATCCTGCTTTCTCGGAACTGAGGCGTTGGCAAATGTTGAGCTCTGCTGTTATCAATCTCCATGTTGCACTTTGAGGTACTTGGAGGTTATATCTGCAATGGATGTTCCATTAGAATTGTCTCTCGAGCGATGTGTGCTCGAGGTAAGTCCTGTTTGCCAATCATCTTGAGTTAAGCCTATTGGTGTTCGGAGCGACCCGATTATAGCTTCATGGTTTTCAGCGCAATTTAGCCCTTCATTCAGCTGTTATTCTTTTTTAAGATACAATGATATGTGAGTAAGGCCGGACTGAAGAAGTTGAGATATGTAGGCTATCTGGAATCTCTCGTCATCCAGACTGGGGGAGTCCTTACTTGGGCTCCCCATTTATTCCCCTGCTAGAACGGATAGATCCCGTACTGCTGATCCCAGCTAGCTAGCTCCGCATAAGTGGTTCTATCCTCCATTGGGATTTGGGGTACGCCAGGGGACCCCGCATATGGTGCCCATACAAACTCGCCATCTGAGCTCATGCCATGGTCTCTTGCCTCTGTTCCCCACACGGCGTCAGTATCTGCAAGGAGAATGTCCATTTCATCTGGGGTTGGCTCGGCTGCCACAACTCGTGGATATAAAACCGGACTGTCTGGAATTCCAGCATCAAAGTACGCAAAGAACGCTAGAAAGACAGAACGACGCACAAAAGCTGCGCTGACTCTTTGGTAGTCGCTAACACCTCTCAATGACTCCCTTGAAAGGGCGAAACGGTCAGGGTCTATTGAGTCTGTAAATGGCTTTCCGCTTCGTCTCTCCTGGCCGACATCTTCATTATCAGGTGGAAAATCACTTCGCATGGCGCGGGGAAGTTCAACGGGTTGCAATTGGCTTTCATCGTTGGCGGGAATTTCAAACCCATGATTCCTAGCCAGCCAGAAGAAGTGATGCCGGAGGCCCGATAAGTCAAAACTATTATGACGCTCGTGAAGGCCCAGGCTAATTGCACGCTCAATATCAACGTGTTTTCGTGGAACACGGCGGCGGTGCTCCTTAACTGTCGTCATCTCAAACGCATACTGGAAACTGAAACGCCACAAGTCGCAAAGGTCTCTTTTTAGCAATACTTCGATATGTGCTCTTGAAATAAGCCCACCTTCAGGGATACTGTTATATTGGCTTCTCAAACTTTCGTCAATCGTAGGAGCTGTTCCCTCAGCTTCTTCCTCTTGGTTGTCTTCCTCCTCGCTATATCTCCTTCGCTTGATCTTCCTCTTCGGCTGGTTTATACACAATTGTCGCATGACATTCTGACATACGTCGAGGTATAGTATGTCTTGAAAGAATGTCTCTAGGGTGGGGATAGGAAAGTCAATGTTTCGCAGATATCGCAAAATCTGATCACGATCCTGAGGATCCACAATAGCAGGAAACAGATCCTTGTTTTCCATTCCCGTCTCTAAAAATTCAAGGTCTCTTTTGGAAACTTTTGGCGCCAGTGATTTGATTTTCTTGATTGTCCCTCCGTCAACGGCTGCCAAAATATTATTGTCATTTCCTGCCAGATTGTAGAAAGTATCTTTTATTTTCCTCAAGTAACATATGATTGGCTACAATTGACCGTTATTAGCTTGCCATTGAGCGTAAAGGAACAACTTTGGACAATATTACCTCGTCACACTTCATCGCCATCAGCTTGTGTAATACGCCGATATTCATGTCGTCCCAAAGACCATCAACTGGAAGAAGGTTATCAAAACTTTCGCGTAACAATTTGTGTTTCAGTAATGATTTGAGATAATCTCCTTTCCTGCTTCGGCCCCCTTTTCTACTCCCTGGGGAGCTTTCCAAAACAGCCCACCAGTAATTCTCCGCTGCCTTCTTTGATGATTGTCTGTGAGGATATCCTTGGTAAGAGCGGATTTTCCGATAAATTCGACCATCCGGAGGAAATCGGTCATTTGAATAACTCTCCTGGAGGGTGCGAATGAGCTCGTCACGTTGGTCACCTGAGCTCCAGTCAGAATACACAAAGCCCTGATTCCCCGGTCTTGATCATAATCCAAGCGATCATCACCGACATGTAACTCACTCACAGGCTTCTTCGGCTTCAGTAACGTAGACGTCGACCACGCACCAGCGGTCTTCGATATTCAATTCTTCGAACCTCTTTAGAGCTGCAGCAACGACATCCTCGTGATCAAGTACAAATAATTGACAATCGTGAGCTACTTCCAATTCTGGCAGCGGCACTTCTGGTGCTAAGCTTTTCGGGTCTTGCCATTTCACTCGTTTTCCCCACTCGGACGTGTCAATCATGACGGGTATGTGGTATTTTTCATCTAGACGTAGGAATCCATGGTAGTTAAAGAGTTGCTCCAGGCGAGCGATATTTGGATGATTTTTGGTGTCTCGTTTGAAGTTTGCGTCGGACTTAAGGTCGCTAAGTCTAACGATAGCGGTTCCCTGGAAGCAACTTCTGCGGTATATGGAGAGTTTGCACTCCTCTACTTCAATTTCACGCTGCTTTGCCCGCTTTTTTCGTATCTTGCGCGAGATTGGTACCCTATTTGAACTGGAAGTAGACGGCATGGTCTCCCTCTTTCCTGCCTTGGATGTTGAGGTTCTTGAGAATCAAAGTCTTGCTTGCCAGTAATGAAGACGGAAAGAATGACTCGGGAGTTGTATATTTATAATATTTCCACTCTTTGTCAATATTTTCACACAATCCGCGGAAACTTCGCTGAGGGGGAAGCTCACATTTGAGGTGGACAGCGTCAGTCTGAATTTACTTGCATTATTTCAAAATGCGTTGCCTTCATCTTTCCAAATCAGGTGTATTCCAGAGTATGGCTGCCTCATTTTATCCTAACAATGAGAGTGTTGACTTTAGAAAACATGGCTAAGAGTAGAATGAACACAGAAGAGCTCTAAGAAATATCTGCACCGGTATTTCAACGGACTCATAGCTGATGGGTAACCCAATTGAAAGGGCAGTACCGTCTCATTAGTATATGAAAGCTAATGGAAAACAAGGTTTTTTACCTAACTGATGGCTCTGGGGGTTTGTTCTCTTCTATAGAGCACCACAATGCATTCCATTTTCAAGTAATAGTTCCCATAAAGACTGCTAACCCCCTTTCGACCGGCAAGACGGTCACCACACGCTTTAGAGCCAAATTTACTTTTTTCTTTCAATAACACAAAATATGATCTGGCACACACTGAAACTTCTGGGGAGGTTCTGCCCTTTAGCTTTTTCAGTAGCGGGCTTGATTTGTCTCGCCATAGTGTTTGCCGGATGCATATCATCGTCCTCTCCCTCGGACTTTTATTTCATGAAGGCAAGTTCATCGGTCATTTATTGGCGTTCGACTAATTTCAAATCTTTAGCTAAACTTGACCAATTTTCCGGACCCCAGTAATCTCCACCTACGCCGAGGACTGAGCATCGCCGGTGTGGATATGTCCAGTGTCACGAGTGGAGCTTCCGATGCTGCCAACAGCGCGACTCAAATTGCTGCAAATAAAGTAGAACATGTCTCCACTGCGGTACAATCTAAAGCCGACCAGGCCAGAGACCGCCTCGAAACAGTATCCAAAGATCTTAGGTTGCATCTCCCCGCATATTATGCCGTCGGGCTTTGGGGCTATTGCCAGGGCGAGAATAGTACGGGGCCTTTTGGCAACTGCTCCAAGCCAAGTACTTCCTTTTCGTTTAACCTCCTGAAGATCCTTGGCTCGGCATCCGAGGAGATCAACGATGTGTTGCCGAAAAGCGATAATAAAGTCCTTGCCGGCTATCACGATTTCTCACGATGGACAATCCTAGCATACATACTCGGGTTTATCTTCACTATTACTACTATCATTATACAAGTTCTTCTGTTAATTGTTTCTAAAGGAAAAATATTCCTCGTCGTCTCGTCTATTGTAGGTTCAACTTTGGTAGCTTTTGACCTCGTCCGCTGACTTCGATGAAGCTAGCGTCGGTTTTTGTTACTGGTGCGTCTATTGGTGTGACAGTGATATATGGCCTAATAACTGGCGGTATCGAAAGCGTCTTACACCCATTGGGCGCCCATGCTAGCCTTGGGACCCAAACATTGACTTCAGCTTGGCTAGCCGTTGTGTTTTCCATTGTTGCTCTACTCATATGGCTGATCAGAATGTGTTGCTGTTGTTTTTGACGACAAACAAAAGTGACGATGAGAATGATGCTGAGAGCTCGTTTCGCGTCGCTCGAAGACTGATTACTTCTCGCTGCAAAGAAGGGCTGCGTATATGTTCCGAGCTACAGATTGAAGCATCTAAATACTAGATATCTAACTGTTTTGGATCCAAAGATATTTTGAAATGTCCACACATTCAAATTAACCGAACATACAGAGAAAAAATCAGAACAAACCCAAAAAATCAGGGTTACCTCCTGCTCTGGTCAAGAATGTGGCTGGGAAGCCAGAAAATATATTGCAACAGGAAAATGCAGATAGCTAGTTAAGTCGATTACACAATTTCATTGCATGGAGCAACAACTGTAGGTTTCATTTGCTGTAGAGGTGTGAGGGTCATGGTCCAGTGATGTAGATACTTCTACCAAGAGCCAAAACACCCAGAATCATTAATCAACAGTTGACTTTTTATTTCACAAAGAAATAGGACCTCTCAGGCCTCATGTAACAGGGCCGAATGTCTAGTACTTTTTTTTAGCTGCTTGCATTATCTCTACTACGCGCTGTAATCGTACAGCGAAGCTTTTCACATGCGACACCCTTTTCGCGACGATTGTTTTCTAGCCAGAAAAGGTTTGCTCTGGGCGGACAAGAAATGGTGTTGCAGGTTTCGCAGGCAAAGGCTGTTTCAAGGTCTTGATGAACCAGGGTCCACTTGCTCCCCTCCCTCAACTGGAATGAACTTGTCCCGCCCCCGACAGCTACTGATCTCTTGAAGAGTCACCACTGCTACAAGAGCTACCACTTTGGCGATAGCCAAGCACTATTTTCTTTGGTTCATTCTGGCCCCTCGGGCCGAGCAGGGTCACATCTGAAATCAAAACTGCTCATTTATTTCCATTCGTGGCCAGGCAAAATGTGGAACTTTTTCAATTTCTACAGTGACCTCGGAAATATTTGGTTGACTCAAGATCCATAGACCTGTTAAATCTCAGAGGTGCGAGCGTTCAATCCGTGATACACCTTCTTACACACACCCAAATATCACGGCTGATGGGCAAAAAAAGGGAATGTTTTTCTTGAGGGACTTTCTATGGTTCAACAAATGCAAACTTTGTCAAGGTGAAAACCTGTCCCAATCAATGAGGAAATTGACTATGTAGTCTTACAGTATGTACCGTTGACTTCTTATTCGAAATGTCGAATTTCGGTGGAACGAGCTGGACAGTTTATATCTAGAATATAGCAACATTGTGGAGACGGATTCTCGAGTGTCTAGCAAAGCAATGGAGCAAACTTTCACCATACTGTTTATTTCGCTGTTCTTTTGAGTAAATTCCGGCTTTTTGGTTTCTACTGTTTTATTCTTTAGATCATATCATCAGTAATGGTTCAACGCACAGCTAGCAGAGTTGTGAGGGTTTTTCGTATCGCGATTAATTGCCTGCGCATCTTAGTATATTTTACTTTCATTTGTTTCAATCCAGTTTTGGGTACATTTTGATATGAGAAGCATAAGCGGAGTTCTCGTCGGTTTAAACAAAGCATGCCTCCGAGGTCGCTTTTACACATGTCCTTGTTCATTGCACCCACTGGTAAATTGGGCATGGGCTTCTTCCTTCATAGTCATCCATAACGATCTTGGTCATGACTTGTGCAATAGTGAAATCAAAGAAAGGCACAATCTTATGTCTATGGTATTTGATAGAGCATTGTTCTATCATTCCCATTTGCTCTATGGAATCAATGGCCATGCCGTCTAGACTCCTATTAAAATCCGGATCTTTTGTCTTCTATTATTCCTCCCTTTTCTAATCGCTGCTCTTTCCTTTCCTCTTCTTCTTTTGAATAATCTGCTCGAATATTCGCGCTTTACGGCATGTCGGAAGTGATTTACATCCCCTGGTCTTCAGCTGAAGAGGTCAATCTTCTGGGTTGGTTATCGCAGCACCAGCATTTGTCATGGGATGACAAGTCCAATGAGTACTCAAATACTTTTGGTCACTACCGAAGTCCAGAATCACTTCGGGGGAAACAGAATCAGCTGATGAAGGGTATCCGGCGGCAACGTCTTGTCCCAAAACGAACCTTATCAGAGCCTCCCCATGTGTCCGTCCGCCGGACACGACGCCGACGGCGAAGAAAGCTCTCGGATAATCCCGAATCGCCTCCTACCCGTCATGGGGCTCCTGATCTCGGAGGGCGCCTGCAGCAGCAGCAAGACCGTTCTCAAGAATCATCTAGATCGGAGTTCCCTCAATTAGGTTAGATACCTGCCCGCGGAGTGAAAATGCCAAATTGGACGACTAACAAATTCATGGTAGATCCTATGGAGGGCACGAATCTCTTTCGGAGCCCTGACAAAACACGTTCTGTTTCGCGAAGTCTTTGGAATATCTTTGTCCGAGTAAAAAAAGCATGGTGACAATTGGAATAGAAGATATAAAGCGGAATCAATAACAGTACTGTACACAGTACAGTATGTGTGTGTGTGTGCGTATGTGTGTGTAATTCATTTACGCTGACCTCTCGTTAAAGTTGATTTCACCACTATGCCAAAATACAAATCCGCACTCAGCCTAGTGGGTTGTGGTTTAGAATCCAACTCTCCCCCATAAACCATAAAAGCTTGGCTGGGGGCGCGTATGAAAGCTCCGCTACCTGGTTGTGCGGCCAATCATAGTCCGTCTTCTGGTTGCTCTGGGTTCTCAAGGGCGCTGGCTGCGGGAATCGAATCTGTGCGCTTAGAGGTTGCGCAATTTGGGTTCTTACCCAGTTAATTTCCTAACTAGACCAAAACAGGAATCCGTACTCAGCCTTAGTGGGTACTGATTCAGAACCTAACTTTGCGAGAGGTCAATTCTACTACTACTACTACCACTACTACTACTACTACTAATACTACTACTGATACTGATACTGATACTGCTGTTGGTGTTGTATATATCATTGGGTTATGTCAGAAAGATGGTGGATCTGGATGGGGTTTCTGGGTATTTCCCAGAATATCTTACGACATCAATACCAGACACCTCACAAAAAAAGGTGCACATTACTCTTTGTCAGCATGTCCTACAAAATTGCCAGTTTTATAGGTTTTAGTTAGTTAGAGAGCTTTATATTACTATTCTGGACCCTCTACAGTATTGGTCACTGATTTCTGTCGGGATACAGTAGCACTATAGTGCATTGAACATTTTTTAAGTTGCCATGCAATACTCAGATAACAGATTGTGGCTCTAGTTAATCACGAACCAATGGCAATACAACTTGATCTTTGCCGAAAGGGCAAATATGATTTGTAACACGATTTTCTCCAGCCAGAACTCGTGCTGTGGGAAGGACACGCGCGTTCCAATTCATGTTCAGGGTTTTGGCCTGATAAAGAGTGCGTCTGTCTGAATAGCATCGACCCAGTCATGAGGTGCTTTTCCCGGGATTCGTACAGATCCTTTCAGATAAATCTTGCGACCTTCAACTTTTTCTGGCCAAGCACGGAGAAGGATTGGCGCTGAAGGTGGAACAGAATGAATGAACGATGTGTTGAGGTAAGCAGTGAACGCTGGTTTGTGTTTGTGTTTGCAACAGTCGGCGAGAATACGGTCCATCAAGAGAGCAATATATCCACCGAACAATTTACCATCGTAGTAGCACATTTGCTGGGAGGGAGTCAGAAGCAGAAGTGATTCTGCCTCCCATCCTAGCCTATGGGGCTTGAAAATAGGGCGGTAGCCTTGAAGTAGAGAACGCATCATTTCAGCAGAAGGGTCGGTGACGGAATGCTGAAGACTCAATAATCAGCATACTACAATTAATATCTGCCTCGTTGGCACTCACAAGAAGTTGATCGGGTAGTTCACTGCATAAATCAAAGGGGGGTTTTGATGAGGTTGCACGAAGGATCGGCTTCCACGAAAGGATTGGGAGAAAAACGCAATTAAAGAACGCTTGTACATGTCTGTCGCAAGATTATTGGACCAGTGCAAGATGATGATGGCAAAGTTTTCGTAAAAGAATAGCGCGCTATATATGTCTGGCGTTATCCACGGGCTATATCCCAAAGTATGCTTTCTGCCTTCTCAACTAAAGGTGGAGCTGTTAATGACGAGTTAAACAATGACGACACTGTGGTAGATAAAACTGGGTGTTGAAAGATCGGCATATTGAATGTTCGGTTGACAGATGACCATCCTCGCCGTGATCTTTCCTACAAGTATATTATGGTTAACAGATCAACCAGGTCGTGCTTATTTTCTTCATGAAAACTATTTAAAAAGGATGCTACTCCATGGAATGGTTATTTATCGTGTCATCTTTTAGAAAATAGAAATATGCAATGATATGTATTCAAAAGGCCGTTTGATAGGGTATGAGACGAATTTCTACTGAGGTAGGGGTAAACTGACAAGATTTGTTCAAGAATTTCAGTGCTGTGTAATGCTACCTATGATATTTTTACTTGACCGTTTCTATGACACACGGAAAATCGATATATATAAACCCCAAATTCTTGTTCAAATACCCAGAAGTCGTTCGGTGAGAATTGGTTTGGGGATTAGTAAAATGATGAGGAATTCCCAATAATACCAACCCGATAGCTGGCTCAAACACCGTTGAGGCGGGGGCAAAAGCGATCTATGCAGTAACTTATAAAGCTACGCTCATCGGTGTCTTTATCTCATAGGTTCCGCACTTCTAATTGTCAATGGTCACAGGCAATCAATACAGCCGCCAAAGTATTGCTCTTCTGCACTATAGTATGTTTCTTGTGAACTTCAATAGCAACACTAAAAGACAATCTCTAACGATTCAGTAATTCGCACGAGAGAGATGAAAAAGGATATTCATCAAAGATTCTCAACAAAGTCGACACTCGATACCACAAAGCTATACCATAGATCAAAAGTCGCTTTGTGTGTGTCTTTGAGAGCGCTAGCGCTAATAGTTATGCTATTTGGCTCTGTGCTAGCTGCACTCGTGGGTGGGGGCCACATTCCGCTTTCTGGCAGCTGGCAAAAGAGAAACGTCGAATGATGCGGAAGAGGGATGCCTTTACGTACATGTATAATACCCATCCACTTGCGAAAGCCCACTACTAAAGCTCTTTAAATAGCCTTGTTGGTTTTTTCCTTGTGTTGACTACGAGGCTTGCTTACTTGATCGATTGTAAAACTTTCTACAGAAGTCATGCAATCTATCATCAGCCAGGAGCTTGTTACTTGAACAAGAAGCACGCTCCTGTGCGAAAGAACGGCCCTTACCCTAGAAGAAATGACAAGGGCACCAAAAAGGGAAACTCTGCCTCGAAATCTTGAGCTTTAACGCCAAGAACAATTATGCTTATTGAAAGCACATTCTGGCCTTTGAGAGTACATTGCATTATGTGCGATCGTTCGTCAATTTGAGCACTATCTCGTATGCTACATAACCAGAACCTTAGGGACAACATTTTAGAAACCTTCCTCGTTCACTTTCGTAGATGTATCACACATCGGTTCCGGGGTGCAGCCCTTTGAGCTCTTTAGGAGCCTACCGATACCCGTGCCAAGATTATCAAAGGCATGACTGAAATAGGCCAGATCTTGTGCTTGCTTGGCATATCTACTTCTCAGATATTCACGTTCTTGGCACAATTGAATGTTTGCAGTGCGGAGTTCCCCATTCGCGCTCTCAAAACGTTGGATCTCGGACTCTTTTGCGACATAGGACTCATACAATCGTCGGTAAAATCTCACGATCTGGGCAGCCTGGTGCGCCAGTTGCGGGTCATCTGGATTCAGTCGCTTCAGCTCCTCGACCAGCGGCTGGAATGGCTCGGCGTCTGAGGCCTGTGCCTCGTTTTGGGGCAGCTGTAGATGCGATGGCTTTAGCCTAGAGTTAGTCCACAGCTGCACAGCGGGCAGAGTCGTTGCTTACCAGCTGCTGGCCATGGTCTTCTCCCGCTGGGAATACCGTCGGCGCATTGATAGTTCTCGGCGAGTCGCTCCCTCCGCCTTCATCGTGATCAACTTTCGTTGCAAGCTCGTTATGAGGACCGTCCATTCTTAGAGTAGGTCGCTGGGTAATTGATTCTGTGCTTGGGCATGGGAACCTCTTTATACCAAACGACCGTGCTAAATTGTGATGAGCAACTAACCACTATCGCGCGCCATGTTCCTAATGCCGAGCCTGATGTGCATTCCTAGTCATGATGGTAGTACACACACGCAGAAAGAAATGGATCTTGTTGCCCGACCTGTAATCCACAAGTTCAACGTGAGTACCAACCAGTACTTATCAGAGGGGTTCAGGACCTGACAAAGGTGCATATGCAAACTTTGGATGTTGATCTGCTGAAGAATATTAATGCCCTCATTGAGCGGAATGATCTTGATGAGACCCACTTTTGTTAAATGGATGGGCCAAGGTTCTTGGTGGGTAGTTCATTTGATTCTCCGGTGTTCATTTTTGGGGATCTGGGACGCTGTGACCTGTTTAAAGGTAAATGCACAAATACGGGCCCGCGCTCAAGCAAACTCAGTTTGATTTAAACAAACATGTTGTTCAAGCCTAAATAAATCGGGTGTTCTATTTGTCGGAACGATGGATGAGGTTTACTTGTTGGTTCACCGAAACATGCATTATCTTATTGCTAGGTTCGAAACGACTTCAAGGTGAAAGGAACCCGACCGCATGTACTTTTAATTCACTGTTATATCCGATCTAGCCAAGATGCGTTATTTCGGTTGATGTTGCTGTATACAGGAGTGTGTGTGTGTGTGTGTGTTTCATTTACCCTGACCCCTCGCAATGAAAAGCGATATGCAGGCTACCTCAACTTTATATATCCCTGTACGTACATGTAGAGTGATCCACTTCCTAAAAACGAACTTAGAGCCTCGTCAAGGCCTCTCGTGGCCTAATTGCCGCTCCCATTGTTAGGCTGCCCCCGTGGCGCGCGACTGCGAAACCGTTGTGACGCCTCAGCAAAGTCCAGCACGGCCTGTACCGTTTTGGCTCGCGAGACGGTGTCTGGTTTACCTTTTTCACCTTGTTTTGAGCCTCCCAGCAGGCTCGATACGCTGTTAAACGCGTCTCCCACTTCTCTCCTCAGATTTCTTCGCAACTCCACCAGCCTCGGACAGTCCACAAGGACATGGGTGACTGTTTCTTGCGCACCGCAGTCGCAGCGGTCGTCGTCTCCGTAACCAATCTTCTTGCGGTGGGTGGACAGCCAGTTGTGGCCCGTGCGCAGCTGCGTCAGCAGGTACGCCCTCCCCCTGGCTAGGCTTCCGTACAGCTTCCTGGTGTGCGTCGCCGGTAAAGTATCGTCTATTTTCCTCAGATGACCGCCTTTGGTGGATGTTCTCCATTCCTGCTCCCACTGAGCGGCAATCTTGCCACGGACAAAAGCCTTCTCTCTTGTGAGTAGTGGGCGGAAGGGGTGGGATTTGCCGGGGCTGGCGGCGTGCTTTGCCATTCGGTCTGCAGCGTCGTTGCCGGGATTGTCACAATGTCCTGGCACCCACTGGAGGCGCAGTGCGATACCTGCTGTTTTGACCTCGGTCGCGGCTTGGTGGATCGCGTGAACGATCCGTTGTCCCGACTTGTTTCTTGTGCTCTTGATTGCTTGTAAGGCAGACCTACTGTCACAGAGAATTGTCGCAGTTTGTCGACCTTCCGGTATTGGTTGCTGGTGGGCCATCTTGAACACGGTGCCGACCGCGTGATAGATGCCTATTAGCTCCGCTACATGCACCGACCAGCGGTCCATCGGTCCAACCTGGATATGTTGGGACTCAACCATCTCCATGTCCACGTTTAATGCTACTACAGCGGCCCCTAAATGGCCGTCGCGTCCTGAGGCATCCGAGTAGACGACAATGTCTGATGTTGAGCGGACGGCCTCGGCTTGCTCTCCTGCTACTTCTCGGTCTGAACCGACTTCGATCTCCACGAAGGGGTCGAGGCGCCATGGTGGCAGTGGCCGTGGGTCGATTGTCTCTAGCTCGTTGAGCCTTTCGAGGTCCATGGTCTTCAGCGCTTCCGCCAGCGGGAAGCGAGCGTACGACCCGATGTTGTTTCTACGTTTTTGGGCTCGCGAGAGAGTATCCCAGATCGGATGTTCCCGCGGCAGCGTATGGAGGTTTGCAATGGTGCGTTGTGCTCGGTGGCGGAGACGGAGGTGAGTGGGAAGGATGTGAGCTTCTACTTCTAGGGTTGCTGTGGCCACAGTTCTGAACGCCGACAGGATGCGGACCAGTGAGGTTCTCTGCACTGTGTTGAGGTGTCGAAGGTGAGTTTTGTCCCTCAATGGGTCGTGCCAGACGGTTGATGCGTAATCCAGCACTGGCGTGACGCATGATTGGTAGAGCTGTCGCATTTGTTCTGGGCGCAAATGTCGTAACCCGCCGAGAGCAACAGTGACTTTCGTTGCGCGCTTAATCGCTTGCTGCACGTGTTCTTTCCATCGCATTTCCTGGTCGAAGCTAACACCCAGTAACTTGGCTACGGGAGAGGGTGAGACTGCTGTGCCGTTCACGACTATTTGACCCTGTAAGTGCTCGGCTTTCTTTCTGGTCAGGTGGATGAGCTCGGTCTTCTGGGCTGCGAAGCAGGACCCGGTTTTCCGTGCCCATGTTTCGATGCGGGGGATGTCTTCAGACTGTATCTTGGCCAAATTCTCCTCCGTTGAGCGGCCCACTCTCCAGCGGAAATAGTCGTCGATGAATGCCGAGGCGCCACCGCGCAGAGTGACGGGTTGATCCACTAGGTCAGCGTTGAAGAACGCAAAGAGAATAGGGGAGAGAGGGGACCCTTGTGCCAGTCCCGCATTTTCTAGCGGTGCTACCTCCGTGCGGTAGTCGTCAAATCCTATGCTGGCGTACCGGTCGCTCATGAAGCTCGCTATCCATTTTCTGGCTGTGGCTGGGATTCCCTTGGCTCGCAGGCATGTATTGAGACTTGCCTGTTGAACTCCGTTGAAGGCTCCTTTCAGATCAAAGGAGACAAGAGTCACCACTTTGTGTTTGTACCATGCTCGGTCGATTGCGTTTGACAGCACCAGCAGGGCCTGTTCGGTGGTTCTTCCTGGCCGTCCACCAAATTGAGTGTCTGGTAGCAGCCTATGTTTTTCTGCGAGATATGAGAGTCTTCGGGCTATCACAGCCTCGAGAAGCTTTCCTAGCGTGTTGAGGAGTGAGATTGGACGGTAGGCCCCCGGGAGCGAGTAGTCTGGCTTCCCGGGTTTCCGCAGCACCACGATTTTTGCGTTCCGCCATTGTTTCGGGTGGTACCCCAGACTTAGTGATGCGTTGAAAATCCCGGTAATGTTATCTTTCAGGTGTACCCATAACTGCTTCCACACGAGCATCGGCAATTTGTCTTCGCCTGGTGCGGTGGTCCCCTTTGCGGCTTTGAGCGATCGTTCAATCTCTGGGGTGGTGAGAGGCTGCCACGGGAGCTCCAGTGGTGCCGATGTTGTCGAGTTGGTTTCGGGTGTATCCATTTCAGGGAAGAAGGAATCTAGGAAAGCCTGCGCCTTGTCTTCGTTCTCGACAAGCTCTTGGTCATCGACCTGCAGTGCCGGGACGCACCCCCAGGACTCCCGCGGTTTCATGTAGGTGGCCGCTTTCCATAGTTTCCCTTCCCCGGCTTCGTCTAGAAATTGCCTCCAATGTGACGCTTTGGCTTTCTCAATGGTTCGAGTCCACGCTCGTCGGCTTTGTTGCATCTCTTGGAAGGCAGCGGTGGAATTGGGATGGTCTCGCCCGAGCACTCCGCAGTTCACCTGCCACCTCCGACGTAGTTGATTGACATTGGTTTGTTGAACTTTGAGGTCCGGCGTGAACCACCGTTTGGAGTATGGTGTTGGGCGTGTGTCAGGTGTCAACTCATTTACTGTTGCTGTTGTTACCTCCGTGAGGGTTTTGACAGCCTCGTCCAGTGCTGGTCGAGTTTTAATCTCTTTGGCCGGGCCGACTCGCTGTACCACCCCCTCGCCTATCTTGTTCCAGTCTGCACGTTCGTAGGCCTTCCTTGTCTGCGTTGCTTGCTTGTTGTGGGCTTGGAGATTCCATTCGGAATACGTGGCGCGGTGGTCGGATCCGTAGTTTTCGTGGTAAAGGTGACATTTGATTAGTAGCGCTGGCCGATCCGTTACTGTTTGGTCGATGGTGGAATTCCTCCCTGGGTCGCTTAGCGACCAGTAGGTTGCAGTTCCCCGAGGCAAGCAGCTGTGGAGACTGTTCGCTTGAAAGAACGTGATCAGGTCGCTAGCGTCTTCGATAAACCGTGGTTGGATGTGATTGCCGCTCCACATTGGGTGATGGCGGTTGAAGTCTCCGCTGAGAACGATGTTCGTGGGTCGTTGCTTGTCTCGTAGGGCGGTTGTGATTGTGTTTTGAATTGCTGTGAGTGCGGGTTCTGCTGAAGCTTCGGCGTCCGTGCACAGAGGGACAGAAGGGATGTAAACGGAGAAGAAAAGGATTTGGAAGTCAGATGTCCAGATCTTGATAGCAGCGACATCTGGGTGATTGCACAGGATTTGTCGGTGTGACGATGTAGAGACCCTCCGATTCACATAAATCAGGCTGCGAAATCGGGCTGCGTCGGTGTCGGTTGTCGGACGGTAGAGGCGCCAGGAACTGTGGTTGACGTGGGTGCGATAGGTGGTAATGGACGGTTCCTGGATCAGGAGTACATCCAGGTTTTGGCTTTGGTGATCGTTAATGAGGGCCTCCATTCTTGGTCCCGATTTCATAATGTTCAACTGTAGTGCTCGTAGGTTTGTCTCTAACATTGACGGGGTTGACGGGGTTTGAAAGATGCGGGGGTCGCACACTGTCGGTCTCCTGTTGCATGTTCTCCGCTGCAGTCTAGGCATCTCGCTCTGACGCCCGGTGGGCATCGTTGCCGTTCATGTTGGCCAGCACAATGTCCGCACCGTGGTGTTTCCTTGCATGACCACGCTAGGTGTCCGAAACTTTGGCATCGGAAGCATCTCTTTTTCTTAATCTCGCGGCGTTCCACACTACCAATGTATCTCTGGCCCACCAAAAGACCGTTGTTGAGGATGCGTTCGGCTCCCTCCGCTGAGTCGAACCAGATGCCAAGCGATGCGAATTTCCCTAATATCTTGTCCTTCTTTTTGAGCCAGGCCACCTCCTCGATTTGGAAGCCCTGTCCCGTGAGGCCGTTTTCGTCCATGATTTTCTCAATGGCCTGAGTGTTTGCACTCTCCAAATTGAAATGTTCTGTTGGGGTGCGATGCACGACGATGCCGAATCGTGGTTTCACCATTTTCGTATTGTTTCCTAGTTCATTCAACCATCCGGTGTTATTGCGGGCCAGCTCGGCCGACTCGGTGTCCTTGAAACGAATCACGTAGCCTGTCTTGGTTGTGCCAATCCCGGCGACCTGGGCGTCCTGAGTTGTTGGAGCATTCATCAACGCGGTGCGGATGTGTTTGTTAGCGGAATCTGTGGGAAGGTATCGGCCGAAGGTGTTTCCATCGCTGTTATTGTTGTCCGCTGGATCCACAAATGATCGTTGGGTGCTAATACGAACGCAGTTCAGGTCCTTGTCGGGCCTTGAGTCGGTTTGTTGGGGAGGAGCAACGTTGCCGCTGGCCGCAACTGTTGCCCATGTTCTGGACGCAGGTGCTGGTGGGAGTGCTTCGATTTGAGCTCGCATAGCTCTGATTTCCTCGTGAAGCTTCTCATTCTGGTCACGAAGGACATTCTGGTCGTGTTTGACCTCCTCGATCTCGGCCTTAGTGGATTCGATGAGTGCAGTTTGGTGGTGGATGATTAACTTCAGGCTGTCGATGAGCTTCCACACTTCCCTGGTGGTAACCCGGCCTGTGCTTTCCAATGGTGTGAAGGCCCCATCGCCCCGTGTTCTTTTGCGAGACTCAGGAAGCGGCTCGATCGGTACGCGAGGCTGGAAGTCCTCGACTGAGAAGCTGGTGGGGTTTTCTCCGGTGTCTGTGGGAGGGGGTTCGGGCCCTCCCGTATGTGGGTCCACCATCGGTACGCGGTTAGCTCCCGCTCGGTACACAACCACAAGTAATGTATATCGAAGGTAATGTTAACCACGCTTTAGTATATCGGTCCTGGCGTCCGGTTTCGGTCTGTGCGTACAGGGTGTCCTTCGTTTGTATTACAGGATCCTATATATACAGGATCGCTGTATACAGGATGGACCGAAATCAGATTCACCATTGACTCGCAAAAATTCTTATTTCGAACCCTCTTTTGAAACATGCTAGGCTCACTTTGAATTAGCGCCTTTCAAATCATCGAAATGTATTGTAAGGAATATCACATGGTAGCTTACTGCGTAATTTAATTGAACCAGCCATACAGTCGGGTGCTCTCGTAAGCACTTACCGCAGCGTGATCCGTGATCTTAGCTATGATGCGAAACCTGCCAGATTACTGACCACGTAGTGGACGGCGTTCGACCAGTCCTGGGTCTTGTGCCAGATTTTTGCTGCATTGGATTTCATCTTGACAACGTTCATCGAAAGATGGCCCACCACTGCTATTCGTCCTTGACCAACTATTCTGACAGCAGGTCGAGACTGGTCCGTCAGCAGGAACAAAATTTTAATCCGCAATCAGATACTAATTACAAGATATGAAAGTGTAATTTGACAGCTACCGACCCTCTAACTGGGCCGAGATGGAACGGCGAGGCCGGGGTATGCAAACGACGCGAAGTACAAAAAGCCTCGATCGGAATATCTGATAGCATTGGGTATTGGATAATCTGCGCCAAGACATTCAGCGTGACATGTACGGCGCTCCTCGTCGGCTACATCAAATATGGATGGCAAGATGTATCAAAAAACAAATATTACATCTCACCCAATGTTAAAGGATTCCTTAATCGTCACGATCACAAATGCCACAATTCTCATTCCGGTCTCCTCACGCTCGAGTTAAACACGGGGAACCAAGACATGCCCGGGAGACGTCTCACAAAGAGGATTTGTGCAAACACGAGATTTGGCATGCATTTGCAAAGCATCTAGCGAAGCGCGAAGACCATTCTGCTAGAGATTTATGTGAGGGCTGGTACATTTCTTCAAGGAAAATGGCACCAAATTTGGAGTAGATACGGTTGACATAACCGAACGTCGAAAGATGACAGCTGCCGCCCTATTTCGGAGTAAATTGTGGTAGGGTCCGCTAAATAATTGGATTCGATCGTTCATGCGGAGATTGTCGGCCGGTACGGATCCGCCGTATTTGAGCCTGGAGGGCCTCCGAGCTTCTTTGGTTGGCAAGCGCACTTCGAAAGCCATGCTCACTTCGAGCTAACTCATGCTCAATTTGATCACGGTCACGCTCACTTAGACGAGGGACGAGCTCGATGATTATGATACCTTGGTCGGTTTTTTCCTTGAATAACAAATCACAAGCGTTAGATTGTACTTGACGGAGTATTCCAACGCATTCCGAAGAGTCCATATCAGGAAAACCCGGTTTCAGAGACGTAAGTGTCAAAGAGTATGGTGAGTGATTTGCATCAATTGTGTCGGATGATACAGTTAAAGCAGCATTCCGGCAAGCGTGTGATGTGACGCTGTCGGATAGCTTCGACCTTGAGCACATACATAAGGACCAAAATCCAGGATTCTTCCTTGGTAACGGGTCATGCCTGGGAATTGCTCGCACATTTGTACAGAATATCCGTGTCTGGGCCGAAACTGTCAAAAATGTAATACCCATTCTTGATGATGTATAATATGAATTTCATTGGCGTTGAAAAATCCGTTTTCTTTTTTTCCTTTCCTCTTCATTTTTGGATTTTCGATTGGGTTACCTTTCAGCGTCAGACCTGTGCCGCGAGTTAACACACCGAATTTGTTTCCTTTTGAAAAGATAATACCAGAATGATGCTTAGTCTGCTGCCCTTCTCCAGAAGTCACTGTCGTTCAATATCGTAGTCATCATCATTATCATCGTCGTCGTCGCTGTAAAGATAATAATCATCTTCAATTTCATCCCAAGTTCTATCTTTGTCCCATTCCTCCTCTTCCACGAGCTCCACTGTCCTGAGTGCCCACCCATAACTCTTCATTTTCCCTATAATAGAATAGTTCAGGCCTTCATCATAAACTTCCATGACAATGTCTTGCAGTGATGTGATAGCTCTGAAGTTAGTATCAGCCAAATCTAATGTCCTATCGTGAACTGGAGGTCTTTCGACTGATAGTTGAATCCCCATCCAATATGTGCTTGGACCAGTCCCTGTGATACGTTTGAGGTCAGTACAGTATTCCTGGATCTTTGTTGAAGTGCGCAGGCTTTCTTCCTCAAGGCTGACCTCTTCTCCAACGTCGCGAAATTCAGGAAAGCGGATGCGGATACAATGAAGATTAGAAGCGTTCACCAAGCTTATAGTATCGAGGAATTCGGGTACACGTATAGGTCTCGATGACGAGAGATCAAAGCAGTTGTTGCCATAGAGCAGTGGGCTGGTCTCGTGAAGGATCGTTGTGTTTGTGGAGAGGATATGCGACGCAAGCTTATATCCTTTGCTCCAAGGATTAATAGGATCTCTACACACGACGAGATACAGCTATATTCGAAATTGGCTTCCATGTTTTACACAGAGAAACTATCAGAAGCCCCACCGCCAAGATGATAGTGAAACCACCTAGGCCAGATTCGGCTAAGTTGCAGATCGTCATTGTCCCGAGCAGTTTTGATGTATGGTACGGAACATTGGACGAATACGGCCCCGTAAGTTACCCGTGTAGTCGAACTAAATTCTAGAAACTTCCCGTCCAAACCAAGGACGATTGCGAGTAGATTCTTATACAGCAGTATTCGTAATTGGCTTCCATGTTTTACGCAGAGAAACTATCTTCAGCCCCACCGCCAAGACGATGGTGACAACGCCTAGGCCTAATTAGGCTAGATTACAAATCATCCCTGCTTGTCAGAATGGAAATGTAAATTACCTGACAAGACAGATACACCAAGGTCGTAGCGTCGCGCCATTTTCTATTCTCATCCACCGTCCAAAGCCATGTAATTGCAGCCCACCACATCACCTTCAACGTCACCAGCCACCAACCACGCACAAAATGGCTCAAAATCTGCCTTCTTCTACCAGAGAATTCGCCATATGACACTAAGCAATTTCTTCACCACGTCTCAGATGGCCCATGCCGCTGGATGCAGCCCTCATTCTATCACCACCAACATTCTATTCGAGCTGGAAGATCCCACAGTATCACCCGACCGTTGCCAGTCTAGTAATGGCGCTGGGTTACCGCAATATTTGAGTAGAATCGAAAACCCCGGGAACAGCCGTGGCTGGTGCCATTAGCTAGCATGTCGACAATATTGGTGCCGCTCTGGACTCATGATAGTAGAATAGGCGAGCCATGCCGTGATAGAGAAAGTATCTTCTCTAGTGCTACTTGCCTACAGGTTGGCAAGATTTTTGGTAGGCTGCTAAGTAAATATATTGGCGAAGGTGACGAGGATAAAAACCCCCGAGTGCGGGGTTCAGCGTCAACAAGCCAGTCACCTGATTCTAGGAAGCGCTGAGCTGAGAATACTCAGCTACCCATTGCTTCGCAACTTCTTCAAACTCGCCTTCCAGCCCCCTTCTGACTACCGTCATGTCATCTAACAATACATTTAGCGGTTCCAATCATGGAATGCAAGTGGTAGCAAATTATGGCAGCATCAGTGCACAATTTGGCCCCAAAGATGGTACGTTTAAAAGCTACAGAATTCCAGGAGAGTGTGGCTGATAGCAACTTAGTAGACCAAGAATGCCTAAAGCACTTGCGAGTAACGAATCCATGCGACGATAAAGATCGCATTGAGAACGACAAGGGTGGACTTTTGAAAAACTCTTATCGCTGGATCCTCGATCATGACGATTTTAAGCAGTGGCAAAATGACCCAGAGAGCCAGCTGCTTTGGATCAAGGGCGATCCTGGAAAGGGCAAGACGATGTTACTGTGCGGAATCATCAATGAGCTGACTGCGTCAACTGCTGAGGATACAACCACGATATCGTTCTTCTTCTGCCAGGCCGCTATACCTGATCTTAATAACGCTACGGCGGTTTTACGCGGGTTACTTTCTCTGATTCTCGATCAGCAGCCAGCCCTGATCACACATATACAAAAAGACTACGATAAATCTGGGAAACAGCTCTTTGATGGTGTCAATTCGTGGTACGCATTATCAAGGATCTTCATCGATATCCTGAAAGATCCGCTCTTACAGCGCACTTATCTAATTATTGATGGACTCGACGAATGCACCCACGGCCTACCCCTACTTCTCGATTTCGTGTCCGAAGATTCATCGGCGAATCCAAACGTCAAATGGATTGTCTCCAGTCGTAACTGGAAGGACATCGAACAGTCTCTTGATACTGCGGATGGAAAAATAAGGCTTTGTCTGGAGTTGAACGAAAACTTCATCTCCGAAGCCGTGACCATCTACATTCACCACAAGGTTCAGATATTGGCAAAGCTGAAGAAATTCGACGAGGAACTTCTTGAAGCGGTTCGCTGCCATTTGTTGTCTAACGCACATGGTACTTTCCTCTGGGTGGCATTGGTCTGCGAGCAGCTCAAGAAAGGAAAAGCGCGAAACGCCAATAAACTGCTGAATACCTTTCCAGCAGGGCTGAATCCCCTGTATGAGCGGATGATGGAGCATATTAGAGACGGAGAGGATGCAGAAGATGCAGAGCTTTGCAAGCGTACCTTAGCCGTCGTCGCTATTGTGTACCGGCCCATTACTCTTGATGAACTACCAGCCTTGGTCAAAATACCTGATCATGTCTCCAGAAAAGACCAAGATCTGACAGATTTGATTGCGGACTGTGGTTCTTTTCTGAGCCTCCGTGGCCGTACAGTCTCTCTTGTTCACCAATCCGCAACGGACTTTCTGCTTAAAGATGCATCAAACGAGAGATTTTTGGTTTTCCCCCAGGGCGTCAAAGCCAAACACCTGGAAATCTTTTTCGGTCTCTGCAGGCCATATCCGAGACACTTCAACGCGATATCTACAATATCAAACATCCTGGATTTCCAATTGAACGAGTCAGAGAGCGTAATCCGGATCCATTGGCAATAGCACGATACTCGTGTGTCTATTGGGTCGACCACCTGAAGGATTGTGATTCTAGCCTAAACACCGATCAGGGCCTCCAAGAAGGTGGCGCCGTGGATTATTTTTTCCGGCAGAAATATCTCCATTGGATCGAAGCCCTCAGCCTTCTAAGAAGCCTTTCTGAAGGCATAGCGGCGATAGTCAAGCTTGATAGCTTACTCCAGGTTAGCGGTCACATTTACACCGACGGGTTTTAATTGCTAAAAAGTAGGCGCTATAGGTCAAAAAAGGCATTTCACAGGCACTTTTGAAGCGAGTCGGTGATGCGTCTCGATTTATCCGATACCATAGGATGGCGACGGAGAGCGGCCCCCTTCAAGTATACAGCTCTTCGCTAATCTTTAGTCCAACGCAGAGCATAACTAAAATTTGCTATCAAACAGAGAGACCAGGCTGGCTTGTGAATGAGTCAGTGATGGAAGAGGATTGGAGTTCGTGCCTTCAAACACTTGAGGGGCATAGCGACTACATCAGATCAGTTGCCTGGTCGCCGGATGGAAGCCGACTCGCATCAGGATCAGCTGATCAAACAGTCAGGATCTGGGACCCAGTCACTGGCCAGTGCACATCAACCCTCGAAGGGCATAGCAAAATCGTTATGTCAGTTGCCTGGTCGCCGGATGGAAGCCGACTCGCATCAAGGTCAGATGATCAGACGGTCAGGATCTGGGACCCGGTCACTGGCCAGTGCACATTAACCCTCAAGGAGCATAGCAGCTCCGTCTTTTCAATTGCCTGGTCGCCGGATGGAAGCCGACTGGCATCAGGATCAGCTGATCAGACGGTCAGGATCTGGGACCCGGTCACTGGCCAGTGCACATCAACCCTTGCTGCTAATTCTCCTGAGGATGTTCAATTTGACAAAGTCGATTTGAATCATCTGCATACTAGTGTTCACACATTCAATCTTGAAAATCTTTCCCCTATGAAGACATCCCTTGGCCGTTCGGCTCCCCTTCCACATCAAACAGGGTACGGCTTGAATGATGACCGCACCTGGATAACCTATCAAGGAGAAAACTTTCTTTGGTTGCCCTCGGAGTGTCGGCCGACCGCTTTCTCAAGATCAACCATATCTTCAAATATCGCAATCGGCTGTTCGTCAGGCCGTGTCTTGATCTTCAATTTCTCTAAGGAAACCCCTGACATAACCCCACAAAACTCAAAGCGACTTATCAAACCTGGCAGACATCGTAGGCGCATAATCTTCTCGCGCCTCTTTAGCAGAAAGTAGGACTTTTCCCTATTTAACTGCCTAGGCAGATGCTTGCTTGTCGATAGTAAAAAAATTAAAATTAAAATCTGGCGGGTCGACAAATTCTGTTATCGCAAGGATGAACGGCTGTTTCTCTTGCGGTAATGCGATTCGATAATATGTCTAGCAGTTTAGGTTCTATGATGTTTACCAAAATACATAGCTTCTGAATGTAGTAGGTATAGTAGTATTCAGAAAGAAGCTTATATCTAATAAAAGTATCAACTGTCAGATTGCAAGAGCCTATGGTAACACCCGCTGGCTTGTCTGGAGGTTTCTGAAATTTCTTTTCTTTCTCAGAATAAAGGAGTAACCGGGGCCTTTCGTGCCATGTTCTGTACCTTACGTCAAGACGGTTCGAAACAAGAATGAACTGTGGCCTAGCCTAAACAGGCCTAGTCGGTTTAGCCATCGTCTTGGCAGTGGGGCTTGGGATAGTTTTTCTTCGTAAAACATGGAAGCCAATTTCGAATATTGCTGTACTTGTATATCTCATTGCGGAGTTCAGCAGGAAGATTCAGGAAACTCGCTGGCATTTTTATTTCTGCCTTGGCGAATGATCAATTTGTGACTGTAGGTGATAAGGGTGGGATCATGTAATGTCAAAGTACACATTCAAACACACAGGCTCAGGAAAGTGATTGAGCTGTCATGTGCTCACAACCTCGATCGCAAAAATCATAAGCTGCTAATTGTCGCGCATGATTTTGATGACGTGTACAATATCATGACGTAAGAGAAATACGCTCAGATAAAGAATTATTTAACTTCCAGACCATACTGTACCAAATTTCTGTACATTTATCTTATTGAGGCAATTAATTACTCGTTCCAGCATTGACGAGAACTGCGTGGATTCTTTGAATACCTGAGAGGTGAGGATCTAGCCGTTCATCGCAATATATCATGCCAACATTGTTTTAGGACTGCCGTAAACAGGTTTCAACATGCAGACTTTGACATGCACGGAACACAATCAAGATTTTGATCTACGAGAAGCGATCGAGCATATTCGTCGCTCCCATGCTAGTTTCATCAGTCGTCCCGGTCGCGCTGGAGAAAATGATGGGCACAATCATACATGGTATTGCTTTGGTTGTAGCTCTAGTATCAACGATCACCGCAGCTACGATTCTGACAACGCTATGTGGACACACCTCAGGCACAATCACGAAACCAATGTTGATTGTATAATTCCTTTCCAAGACATCGATTGGAATTTGCAGATGGGATAGAAAAATCCATTTATCGGCACGCAAGTGTCGCACTCAGAAAAGTCTAGTCAAGTCTGCTTTCTAGATATTCGATTGTTAGGCCTGCGTGCCGGAAATGACCTTCAGAACTCTCCTCTTTAGGTCCAAATGTTTCAATATACCAATCAAGAAAATGATCAAATCCTTAGCCTGGATTTTTTTCATAGTAGCACCCTTCATACTAGCACCCAGTACGCCTAATCAAGATCTAGCAACGTGACGCCACTCCTACGCCCAAATGACGAGCCGGGGGTCTTGATTGGCGCCAGACCTTGCAAAATAGTGGCTTACATTACTTGCGTACTGTACCTGCAGATTACTCATGAACCCGCTTATCATAATACTCAGCCCGTCAGCCATAGCTCTCTCTGCTTGACGATCTGTACTGATATGGCGGAAGCTAACACAATCATCTTAATAAACCTACTGTTTCATGGAGGGCCAGGCTAGAAGGTAAGGCATAATACCTGGCAACTTAATATCTGCCATTTCTTGTTCTGCAAGGATCGTCTTTCACCAGTCGCCTTCCAGAATCTTATATGCGTCATCAATTGCGTTGGATTCATCTGCTTCATCGTCCGTGTCCCAATAATCGTCTTCGAACTGCCAATTTTCCTCCTCGCTCGAGGGAATCCAATGCTCATTGGATAATGGGTTTGATTGGCTCGAATGGTCCAGATACGACCCAGACAGTGCGTCTCTGTCGACTGAGCCAGGGAGCATACTGGGCAAAACACTTTCAAGTGTTGACATATCAATTGTCGCTTTAATTCGACTTCTGCGCAAAAGGCGATCGTTATGCTCCTTAAATGCCGGTAGTATCTCGTCCTCTTACCAATGATCATTTTCAACGAGGACGTCCCAGTCCCAGTGTGTTACAACCTCATCGGGCGTAACCTCCCAAAGACAAAGATATTCGTCTTTTTAATAAGAATAAGCCCTCCTATATGGGTCTTGCACTTCATAATATTTCAATTCTGATTCCATTTTGACATTTGGTAGACCATAGGCGATACGAACGTTTGAATTTATAGCCGTAAGTGTTCTAGGGAAGCTTGGCCCCTTTCGCCTGGACATAAACCTTGATAAGCTCGATTCCGACGCAGAAAATGATATGAATGGTGTCGGCTCCCATATTTGATAGTCGGCGTGTGTACCTAGGTATTCTTTTCGACTTTCTTGTGAGCCCAACCGCTCCCGAGGCAAACGAGTCTGCATTCTTTCTGATTGATCTGGGTGACTACCAGAGAATTTGTCCCATACCCGAAGTAGGGAACCAGAGTAAGCAGCATTGGGGGATTCGGCCCATGAGTGTTTAGAAAGACCTCTTGTTGTTGTTCAGAGGTATGGATTGACTTGTTCTTCCAGAGGGATACATGAGCCTATATATACAGCAATGAGCCAAGTTGATTGGAAATCAACTTGGGTTGTCCATATTGATACCTCGGACTTAATTCCGACGGTGCGGCTTGGTTCCTGATCTGCACCAACCTCATGTCACAACACCTCTTTCCTCAAGAAAGGGGTGGGTACACTGCAAAAGCTCCATTGCACAAGCTTTGTCGACGCTTATGTTCTGCATTGGAATCCTGAAGGACGATTTCTTTCTCGACCAATATCGGGATCAGGTTATTCGTTTGTGATCAATGATGAAGAATTGCTGGCGGATTCTTGCCCACGAAAGTTGACCCCGCATTATCATCACATGTCGGTGTCAGTGGTAGTTTACCACTAAGCCCGTTTTGGACAGGATCCACAAGAGAAGCTTACTAAGAAGCAAGCCCCTGAGTCTGGGTATGTATATAACAGGCGGACGGAGGTATTTAGAGGAACAGCTGTTTAGTGATAATCCATTGCTACGTACGAGACCTTACCGATCCATCGATCGTCGACAGTCGGAAACTGGATGACATAACGGTGGGTCCGGCTCATTTTTGTGGAGGCTGGCAATACAGTTAACTAGCATCTGTCATTAGCTATCTCATGGCGGGGCACGAAGGTGTGAGGTGTATTTCAATATTGCAAGCGAATACACCCCATCTTGGTGGCAGGTGCTCTACGTAAGAAAGATTACAATACACATAGGCAGTGGTGTCAAGTATAGTGGACCACATTCTTACTAGTGCGCTTGGAGATATTCAGCTATCATGTATGCCTGATTTGTGCCTTTGTTTGTGAGGCTTAGTAAGCCCCAAACCTCTTTTATTCTGCACCTACTATAGTATCAAGAATCATACTCTCAAGTACTTTGCTGTACTAGTCCGTACTGTTTCCGCTCGAAAGTCGACAAGTGGTGCTGCGGAAAAACTACTAATAAGTACTAGCGTGAATTGGTAATCAAGATTAGAGAAACAATAGAGGAGTGCAGGTGGTTGCACCAGTTTCGTGACGGACTGTACAGTAGTTTTCGAAATCAGAACTGCACCTCTTAGTCCCACTAGACCTTTCCCCCGCGTGTGCGCTTCCGCACCTCACTGGAATTGACTGGTGAAAATTGATGAGTTGCTCTTGGGCGCAGCCGTCCGAGCCAGGCTTGCCGAATGGCCTGTTTGGTAATGACTTTATCCTGCTTTTGCTCGTCGTCATCCTGGCCGAGGATTTTGGGAGAAGTCCACCATACGGACTCAGAGCCTTGTGACGGCTTCTGGCGCAGTCGAAGGGTGATACGGCTTTGTTGACGTGACGGGCTGATGTGGATTTCTCCCGCGGTGGCTCTTTCTGCCAGCCGGAGCGAACGACCGAGGATTCCCCCCTCCCCCGTGGCCGACGTAGATCGCGTATTAGGTGGGTTGCCCAGAAGGCTAAGTCTCTCCGGGTGAATCTCTTTGTTCTTGCGCGTTCGCTTGTGAGAGATTTGCGCCATCTGTGCTAGGCAAGTTGAATGAAGTTGGCACTTGTAGGTTGGATCATTAGAGATATTTATCTTGTCGGAAAGTGTTTCGGTTAGACGAACTTTCCCCTCATTTTGGAGACGATGGAAGCCACCCTCAGTTTTGCCGAACTGCCATCCCAAAAGTTCTTGTACATGTAGTCTAAAACTGACCATTTACCACATTGCCTTGCATTGTGGTTGAGAGACCGGAAATTTGTATCCTGCATCGTGGTCCGCCGCAGGCCTCATTCTTCAGATAAGGTTCTCGTAACAGTGGCCCGATTACAACAGGTGGGGGATACTACTATAGTTTGTTGCTGGCAACCCATTGAATGAGAAACTCAACTAGGTCTTACCGGTTAGCAATCTATTATTCAAATAAACAACAGCTGATGGTTATTTTGAATGATAAACAGGGACGGTTGTTAGCCCCTGCTAAATCGTACAAAGAAACTACTAGTAAAAGTTTATGAGTATCTACAATAAACGTCAGCACTCTGCTACAGAAATTTGAAACACCACAGCAGATATGTATATAGGATATACTACGGTTGTAGGTCAGCCGCCAAAAACGCTCCAATGATACTCTCAAGCAACGAGAAACGTGCGCTGCTAAGGCAGCAATGCCGGGAAGCGCTGGCAGCTCATATTCGTAAAGTACCCCAAATCTAAAGACACACGGCCCCAATGGCAACTAATGGCGACATTCAGATGATCGATTAGGCCTCACTGTCGCACCGGGTCGGGTCCGATTACAGCCGTCCGCAGCAGACGGCTACGCATGGTCGGTGTCAAAGTCTCAAGAATATTTGTTGAAAACAAATTTGAGTAATGGAACGGTCGGCATGTACCAGGCGATACGTGATGCACTCGGGTGCTCGATCGAAGCTGTTAGTCCGCAGACGTTGCGGGAACCTGATGCAAGCTCCGATAACAGGATAAGCGACGAGGTGAGCCATCAAGGTTTGCTGAGTTTTCCAAATGCTGAAATTCTAAAGCACCCAAGCTCATCGAAGCTTCCTAAGCCAACCAGGGCAGCTTCTGCGAGTGACTCATTCACGGCCACTATTCAACGACTCGAAGTCGCAAATCAGGAACTCACGGCTGATGTTGAAAATGCACGAAAGCATTCGGAGACATTGCTTGACGAAAGGCAGGAGTGGGAGGCAAAGTATCGCGGGATTCATGAAGAGCTCGAAAATAGCAAGTCTTTGGTGACACGGCTGGAGGAAGACCTGAGTCGTGTGCAAATGGGGATTGCAGAAGCTATGGAGACATTAAAAAACCACCAGATTCCAGAAAACAAGCAATCATGCGCACCGACGCATTTGTAAGCTTCAACACTGATTTGCCTCAGGTTGTTGAGAGAGCTGCTTTCTATCTTGTGCCAACTGGTGCTCCAAATTCCTGTTCTTGAGCTCTAGATCGCAAGTTGTTGGCTGAGATATCTTCAGGTGGTCATTGACCTGCAATTGCTCGTCCAAGCTAGGTTTTTCTTGAGCATAGGCTTGTAACATGGTCTCGCCAATTTAGGTAGACGTTCTCTGCTATAAGTGGGATGGGCCAACATCTTGACTCGGAGAACGTGCTGGAAGATCAACTATGTCACGCAAAGCAGTCGGGTATATCGGAATTTCTCTGCAAAAGATGGTAATGAAATAGATCATTCGGATAAGAGGTGCTATCCAATTAGCCGAGCGCAACGTACGGCAATGGGTGATCAAGCATCCGGCCCTCTATACTGCCATCCTTTCTTCCGTCTTGATCTACGTAGCCTCGCACTCAAGAAAGGTCCAGCGTCACTCATTTACGGGTGGCCCTCGTTTATTGGAGCATTTTAAGCTGGAATCCGGAATTTAGGTCCAGCATCAAGATTTCTTGTCAGTTCTTGTCAGCTATCGATACAGTAACATTCGAAATCGGCTAGACATGCAGATATCCGTTTTTTAGTCACTAGTCATGGTGATCGACTTCAACCAAAACACTTCTTACGGGCTCACAGACGGAATCGAATTGTCGTGCGAGCAGGCGCTCAAGTGCGTCAGATACAGGCAGAAGAAACCAGCAATGAAGCGTGAGATTTTGAGGCAATCAGGGAGCGTAGGTGCATCAAAGAATTCCCCGACACAATATATGGCTCGGGTGAACCTTGCATCAGGACATGAACAGACCCACGGGAGTAGAATCGCTCTCAGATCTCATTAACCAATGCCACAAACATATAAGATGCCGTCAATCGAGACGTACTCGCGAAAACAGCGTTGTAGAGCGAGACACTGCACAAAGCCAATGCTCCACAGACTCCAATTTCAAGCACTCGTTCTCCCTTTTCTCTTGGCCAGGTGATCAAATAGGTGGCACAGACCATCCCGGCCAGTGTGACTCCCAGGATGATGGAAGTGCTTGTTCGACTACCAGTATTCTCTAAAAGCAAGACCGATACGGATGTCACCAATATATTCAAGATAATTCCAATGTGGTCCAACAGGAGGAAGAAAAACGAAGGGAGCTGCTTTCCCGAGTCAAGAACGTACTCACACAAAGTAGAAGTGCCAAAGCAAGAGAGATTATTCGAGAGAGACCTCAAGGCTATGATCGTATTGCTCGCGGATAAAGAGCATCGAGATATGTGGGAAATAAAACAGAGCAGCATTACACTGCTGCAAAAATGGAACTTCGGGTGGACAGACTTGTTGATGTGGGTGAGCTTGTATTGTGATGCGCGATAGCTGGCTTCCATTCCGACAAAATAAACAATCACTGATTACTTTATTGCAAGTCGGACAGGCGAAAAAGTTTTTCGAAGTACACAGAACAGAAGGTCTTGAGACCGGTCGTATGTCTCGGGCTAACAATACCTTTCCTTGGGAGACACACCTGCATTTCGTTATCATACGAAAAGATGGAACGCCCTCAACATGGACACTATTTTATCGGTGAATGCCATTGTGCTCGGAGTGGTGTGATCAAATAAACAGCCCCATATAACTTCGTTATGTTTCACCTGGTCATGTTTGTCGGGCTAAATTATCACTAAATCTTTACAAGCAGAAGGTACGGATTGAGAAAAGCCCACACAGATCCTACCAGAGGGGAATTGAATGATATGCTGGCTACCCTCTGGTTAAGAACATGGATGGGAAGCCGAAAAGTATCAAGTTCTAAACGTAAAAGCCGAGGGCTTGTAACTGTTGGAGGTCATTAAACAGTATTGTAGGGGTAGATCATAGTTTGACCAATTAGTTCCAGGTTGCTAGAGTGCCAATCTAGATGCCAATATCAACCTACTAGCTTAGGAGATAATAACGAGTAACCAAGGGCGCTGCCTTCAGAGGGTTGGGAACAAAAACCCAACTAATCAATGGCAGGAATAGTGGGGTGAATTTGACGAAAGAAACAATCTACTTTTCCTGGTGTTTTTAATTTGGTTCGTAATGGACACTTATTCTTTCAGTCACCTACACGGGCAGAATATACAAGGATCCCCAGTGCAATATCTCTGGTTGGGAGAGACCCTATTGTGAAGATCTTTCAAATGCACCGAAGGATCATGTATCTATGGGTGGATAGATGCCTGCAGTAATTTCGCTGATTTCGTACTTGATGGTCCATCCCAAGGAGTAGGTAGCTCCGTGACAAACGATCTCTATTCAGACTTCTTTGACCAAGTCGGCAGCGTACGTGAATGAAATTCGTATATCTGATGTGATCGATGCACAGTAAGCTAAGCCATGTCTTTGACCAATAGACACAGAGGGGTGGATCCTGTCCCTAGCTATACAGGTCAGTAGCACAGATGCCTTCCCGATCAGGGGGAATAAAAGGCTCTCATATACTTCCGTAGCCACCAGGGGTAGCGCCAGTGAGAATGCATAAAAGAGTGACGCAAAATATGATATCACTCCCACAACATATCCCTCACATCGCAATGTGCAAATCTAAGCATGTAGAAAGCCACGCGGCAAATTTCGATTCAAATGCGTGTTAGAAAGTTGATATCGAAGTGCGAGGTTTTGCATACGATGTTAACCATGAGCTTTAATTCTGCCTCGCCTTTCAAAGAGGCAAAAAAGTCGTCCTGGTTGTTCAGCGTGGATCTTCATCCGTAGGTTAGGCCAACTCACCAGCATCAAGTCGTCTAATCCAACCGTGTTCAACTTGTGTGGCAGATCTCGCGCTTTTGAGGTCCATGGAAAATCAGGATGAATTTTTTCGCTCTTTCTCATCAAACTTTTGACCATCTCCGACAATGCCGTCAGCTTCAGCGTAGCTGCATTCATGTCTTCGGGATCGATACGACAACTACGTTCCACGCCAGCTGTCACGACACTGGCATCAGAGGCTGCAATGACCAATTTACCCAATCAATGGGTTGTTGACTTACCGATCCTGACCCCACCGGATCCCGTAAAAAGGACCTCATCGTTGGTGAGTGTGGCAAGCGCTCTATCGGAATTGCGGAGGTACCTGATTCCAATAAGGATCTACAGAGCTTCAGCATTGGCCTTGGAATGGGCTTATGTCTACCAAGCGCGTGTAAAATGAGTAGGACGGACATTAGACATACTGGCCATACAATCGAGGCGATTTCAGTTTCGGTGAGGGCGTACCTGGATCCCAGGACTTGGGACAAGGAGCATTCGACCGACTCCCACACCAAGAACGTGTGATCATCATGTTGGTAGTGGCGCAGGAGTTGTGGGAAACTGCGGTAAGAGAGGCCTTTGATGATTTCCACCAGAGACCGTATCGATGCTGGATCCGCTTTGAGCTGTTCTATGTGGACCAACTCCATTTTGTCCTCCCTATTCTGGGCCAAAAGCATCCCCTTCCGCGGAAGAATCTCGATGCCTTTGACATATGCCGCCCAAGGGTCTTCGTTCAATGGCTGAAGAGTGGAAGTTGGTACTTCTGAAGCTCGCTTTCGCTTCCGGAAAGGCAATGGCTTCAAGGGCTTCAAAGGGTCGGTCATTGGCTTAGGCTCGGAGGAATGGATCGGCGCGGCCATTTCTGTTCTCCGATCCGGTGGCGATACAATGAAAACACCGTCATTCCCAGCGGAGTTGGCTATCGTGGAAAGGAATACCGTTTCCGGCCCAGTGGACTTCGATGGATTGGAATCCATGGTGGAAATATCGGTGAAGGGTTTTGAGTGTATTGGGCGTTTGGATCGCGGAAGGTGATATAGCAAGTATTTATCTACTCCTACACCCGGGGCAATGTTTGCTTTTGAAATACCATCAACTAGGGTCATCTCCCATAACATGGATCTTACGGTCTATGGGTAGGCGAGAAACCGGTCTGATGAATAATGAAGCGTCATACAGCCGTTTATTCTGGCATTTCACGTGGAAGGAAAACATGCTCCACTCTACACCCTTTTGCATATTCTGAGAATTGGAGGGCCATCACTGGAAAGGCGAGGATACATGCAGTAGCTGATTACCAGAAATTTAGAAAATACGGTGGTTTAAGAGAGTTCTTACGTTTAACTTATTCCATTTAGGTTAATAGCTTCATGGAGTTTAATTGCTGGGGCGAGCTGCCAGTCAATCACAGCTTAGCTGATGTTGATGGTCTTGGAAAACGTCATTTGATGGTTTCTAGAATTACGCCTTTCTCGGTTTGTTTATAATTTTTTGCGGCCTAGCCGGCTTCACAGAGGCAACGCACGGCGTTCATTCCCTGCTATCGATGGCCAAAGTTATTAAGCAGTGGAAGTTTCATTACCGTTATTTCAGTGTTCGCTTTTTTTCTTCCATAATTAATCCTTGTAAACGTTGAAAAAGGTTGGGTATTATTTAAAATTCCCACAGAGCTTGGTCATTCTGTGGTTAATCGCGAGTGCGGTGGGCGGGCGATCCGGTGGGTTCACTTGAGGACATTGTGCAAAAATTGGCCAATTTGGCTAAGTTGTCGGTGCCAAGAACGGCCATGTTTGGGTGGCTGACACGGTCAAATGTGGTCAATATATAGATTTGGCAGATATTTAATTCCCACGTTCACCTTCTGTTCAATTATTTGAGGGATAGATTGTTAAGTGATGTGGATATTTACGCTTTGCTTACTGCAGTGTTTATGCTCGACTGCCGTGATGTAATTCGACAGTTGCTTTTTTTTTGTATGGGATCTGCGACCGGAAGACACGCAAAGAGAGAAGTGCGAAAATCCCACATTCACGGTTTTCGAAGGATCAGGTTTTCCCATTATGGAATACCAACAAAGGATGAAATAGCTATCATTTTCAAATGTAAATATGTGTAAACCAACGCGCTCAGAAATATGTGTTGGGAATGAGCAAGGTTAAAAAAGTATTCCAATTTGCGAGCGTGTAATATGAAGCTGAACTCACCCCGATACACTATGTTCAAGGAAAAACATCGCCGAATTTTCGTCATGGTTGCTTGCTGGTTCCCAGCCCTGCTAATTTATACCTGAATCTGAGCTCCTCACATAAAGCTCATGTCCTCACCTGCGGCAGTTTATCCACTTCTTTATCTCATGTGCAAAGACGGAATGGGGCTTTGGTATATACTTTCCCCTGTTCTGCTCTCTCTTTTGGGTCGTCTGGTGCTGGAGAGGAGGGTCGCATTGGCTCTGGCTGAAAATCTTTTGCTCATTGCTTGCACCCAGTATGCAGAGCTGTCCTGGGTAAAAGTTGTGGTGATTGCGACTATCTTTGTCGCATCAGCTTTCTTGCAGACTCAATTGGAGTATCTTGAATCGGTGCAAGACACGTACTCGCACGCAGGCCCGCTTCAATGTGAAGCCAAGTCGACCAGGGCTAGCGGGTGTCCTGCGCATACCAGTCGTGACCAAAAGAGAGACTCGAGTTACCGTACACCTCGAGAAGTCCAGGCTCCAAACGTCAATGGAAATCCCCAGGCCGAAAAGTCCTTTCACGGCCGGGTTGCGCTGTTTCCATGCGATCTTCGACACCTCCGCCGGTCCGGCTTCAAAGACAATTATCACCATTCCTATCTCTATGCTGGTTACCCAGTCGGCCTCCGTGCCTGCTATAGCCCTCTGATCACAGTTGAGCCCCCTTTTCGGTCTGGTTTCTTGCTGCCCATCAAAAAGGCATGGTTCAGTATCCGACCAGAGGATCACGCCTTCAACGGCGGTGCAAACCTGTCGATGACTCAAAAGTTAGAGGAGTTCCTATTATCTGAGGTGAGACTTCGGCGGAAATTGATAAAAACCACGAACTGAAGCTTTATAGGGAGAAGATCCTGCCGAGTGGCCTTATGCGTACCTCCTGGCGCCCCCGAGTGTCACATGGCAGCTGAATAATCCACTTTCGTTCTGGTACCTTTACAACACCAGAAGAGAGCTCACTGCAATGGTTGTCCAACTTCAGACGTCTTATGGAGAGCGCAGGCTGTGGCTAACGCGAAACTGCCGAACGGAAGCGCCCGGAACTGGCCCTTATTGCTTCCAAGGGAAGTTCGACAAGGATCTACAAGTCTCACCCTTCACGCCTATCGAAGCAAGCTATGTTATTGACTCGTCCGATCCATGTGCGGCTCCGCTGGATAAGCTCAAGATCATGGTGACATTGAAAAGAGGAAGAGAAACAGTCATGAACGCTGTAGTCAACTCCACCGGTCCACCTCTTGACGCTGCCTCGGCGAGCCTGGGTTCTTCTTTGCTCTTCCTCGCGAAGTGGTGGTGGGTTCCCATGTGCAGCGTGGTGGTTTTTCGGATTCTATTTAAAGCTGCGAAGATCTACCTGACGCATAACGGAAAGGAACTTAACATCCAGACAAGAGCGGAGCCTAATAGAAAGGCTATCGCAAAATCTGCGCGACTGTCTGAAAGGTAAGCTTTAATCCTCATTCGCCCCCTCTTTGAAAACAAGAACAATGTTTGACAGCTTCGCAGGGCCTTGGAAAAATACTTTTTTATGATCCTATCCTCAATGGTCCAAAGCCAGTCTCGCATAAAAAGTGTGAAGTATGTCACTCCAGGAGAGCACTGTCCGCGAACTCGGGTCATGCACTCACATCAGCAATATTCGGGCGAGGAAGATCCACACCGTCCGGACGAAGAGAAAAACAAACAAGGACTCCAACAGGTTGTCTTTACAGTCAACACTCCTACCTTCTACTCCAGATTCTTTCACTATAAGTCGCCGTTTGCTGCCATGCAGAGTGAACTACTTGACGATGAGCGGACCCGCACGGTGTGGTCGTCACACCCACAGGAGCTTGCCGCTTTGTTTCCGCACAATCTGACAGATACCTGGCGTGAGCCTGTGGATTGGCGATGGAGGATAATATCCATCCTGCGGACTGCTCCTACAATGACCAACTTTCCGCGTCAAATTTCGTACGAGCCATGCAGAGGAACTGCTGTGACCGACTCTTTAATAATGCACCAATGTCCAAGCGACAAAATTCGCAACTATAAACGAACTTTGTTTCGGTTGTTTTTGGGGCACTGGATAGGGGGTTTCCCGGTGGGTTCTATTAGAGAGTGTGATTTTGAACTTATTGGGTTAAGCCGGGATGCTGTCTTAATGATCTATGAAGCGTTTCTCAAAGCTGGACTTGTTTTATTGGGTGTTCTTCTTGCAGAAAGGAGTGCGATTAAAGGGTCCAATATTGCCAGTCTACTTTTTGCAATGCTTAGCTTGGCAGGGCTTAACATTTGGGCATGCTTGAGGTCTATATTTTGATCCTCGCCAGCGACATCCAACTGGTTCTTCAAAGCCGTGGGATCACTTCTTGCATACTTCACCTCCGACCGTGAGGGCTGTGGATGATTGGAATCCTTTTTACGACACTTGTGCGGTGGTTTGGCCAGCGCATGTCGCCAATATGGGCAATTACCTGTTCTTAACCACAGCGCGGGTGCAGTACCGCAGTAATCAATTGCTAGACGAAGCATTGACAATTATGATTCGGGCGCCATGGTTATGTGCCAGTAGGCTATCTGCATAATGCAATAAATGTTTTTTTACTGGCGCTATTCAGCTGTTTATCGTGGAGTGCCAACAAAGTAGCTAGCTCAAACCGAAGCACGAGAGGGGCATAGGGACAAATGTGTAATTGCACAAATTACACACAATCAGCTAATTATAGTTACCAATGGCAGTCGGTGGTTCAAGACCGATCGTGGGGACCTTGCGATCGTATAGCACAAAACGACACGGCTGACAGAGCCCTGAGTTTATGGGAGCAAGGCAAAGTGAAAAATCAGCCGAGCTCAGCCTCATACTGAGTCGCTTCGAGGACGCAGTCCTTGCGTAGAAAGCACATAAAAATGACTAGAGACATTAGCCTGCCAATTTTATTTCTATCATCATTTTGTTGAGCTGTTTATATCAGCAGGTTTCGCAGAAAGGCACCACTGCAATCGACTGAATTGTACTTGCGCTAAGAAAGCTGCGCTCCACAATGTCTACTAAAACCACCTCAGCATGCGCTTTGCCATTATGTCCCTTGCTGTGGTAGGACTAGCCCTTGCAGGTCTCAACTCAGCCATCGCGCGCTTCGCGGTCATTCTGCCGGAGCGAGCGAAATTTGATATCTCACATCCAACAAATCCGTTTCAGATAACACGTTCAGAAATCTCATGAAAAATGGCGTCAAAGGTGTGTGCTGCTTGCGGCACTCGCATCCACCTTGTTTGTCATTACCGGGGCTGTACTTGCAAGCCTCCCCAAACGACTACGAGACCAAGGCAAACCCTGGGTACATTCCAGGTGCGTTCTTTGCATCCTGGGCTTGGTCATTCTATCTACAGGGGCCCATCTTGCCGACACTTATACGGCTTCCGAACCTCCTGTGAGATGTTCAGATGACAGCTTTCAGTACTACAACATAATGTACAATGGCGGGGTTTTTTAAGGTGGCCTATGAGCTCCTGGTGATATCCATGGCCATTACAGCCTATGTCGCTATTTCTGTCTCTGATCGTTAAGAGAGAAGCATTCAGAGCATACACGTTCAGTCGATCAAAGTAACACGGCAATCAGAGCCGGATCAGTCCGGTGAATACGAGGTTTGTCCTTTCCGGTCCAGTATTCTATCAAGGCGGCCAGGGTGCAAGAATAAGGTGTATGTTGCAAATTTAGCCATTGCCATTCATGGAAGCAATGTTGGAGATCACTAATAGAATAGATGATGAATGACCGAGGGTTGAAACAATGGAACACCTAAGCGCAGGCAAAACGGGAGGTCTCAACGATTATTGCATGGCGAGGCATTTCACTTCTTCGAATGCATTATTTGGGTTCTATGTAGTTTATGTTTGAATTTTACAAACAGCCATTGATCACGGTTAATGCTCAAGGTGAAGCATCACATGTATTACCGAATATGTCTCTGAATTGCCTTTATTTGTTCTTTTTAAATAAAGATCACATCTCTCTCCCTACAAAAGGGTTATTGCCTTCCCAACTACAATTCCATTCCATGGTCTGCTCTCACACATCTCTTTTAAATCCTTCCTCAGGCACAATATAGCAACGCTACTTTCCGATCAGTCGAAAGTTTCTTTTCTTCGTGCCTTGGATGATCCGCGACTCCGTCCGCATTGCATCTGGGTCAGTGAAGCGGGGCAACCCTGCCATAATGATGTTGCGATGGACAGTCGCAACCTTGCTAGCAGCGAGACATTTGCCTTGAGGAGTAATATATCTAAACCCACTCGGAAGAACTCCTCAAGTATTGTCCAATTTCTATTGTGTGAGTTTTGAGGGCTTATGGAACCCGATGTCCGGAAATTGTTTTACGGCTCGGTGAAAAATCGCAATTGTCTCGCCCATTTGTATTATTTGGCACTCGGCTGTAGCCCTATTTGGGAAGGTACTGAGCTCCCAGCCAATAATGACGTGCCACACTCAAATGAGTACCAGTCATCGCTCCTCCAGCCAGTCCTGCATCGCGATCTAGTACTCCCGAACGACCAGACGACCAGACGACCATAGCTAGAAGCGTAGGAAGACTCCATGTTGAAAGCTTTACAGAGCGTAATAGATCAGAAAAAACATCATGATGTATTCATGCTAGAGGGCTATGAAGTGCGATTGATATTGAACGATTAGTTTCTAATTGACTAGCTCTTCTGCCGTCAGCCCGACCTAATACAATGCTTCTAATGCAGAACCCCTTCCGTATCTCTAAATTGCAGCATAATTCCCCTGGGTATTTTCAAGTTACCATTCGAGAATTCATGCAAACTCCTTATCTTTTCATGTCCACGGAAACGAGCACGTCATCACTTCGTCTGAAATCAAAGAACCAGACGATTTGCAACAGCGGATGCAAGTCTAGCCTCTTCTGTACAGCCGATTAGACATTGTAGAGGCTTAACCTGCTCATGTGTTTAATCAGCCCCATCCACGGTCTTTTGCATAATCTGAGACTTACATCGGATGATATAGCGCATCTCCTCATATTTGCTTTTTCAACAAAATCATCACCATCAAAAACGGATTCCTGCAACTTTTTCTTCGGGGAGCCAGGACCGGGGATATTGTTTTTTATTGGGTGGGAGGACGGATCTTCCAAAGCCATCTGTAACCTCAACGTGAGTCTTTGTGCGTGGCACAGGCAGGCCGAATGTGCCATGTTGAAATTGACTAGGTAATTTTCTTGTGAGCAGATATGTTAAAGTGAAAGGACGAACAGGACTGCAATGGCGGGAAAACCCAGCTTTATATCCTGCGGAAACCACGGCAGCGTCAGTCATGAGAGAAGATGAAGCAAAGGTAGTTACGAACAGAGTGACGTAGCAAATCTCATCAACCAATGATCTTCAACTTGTCCAATCTTCCCCACGCTCATTGGTGGCAGGCATGTGAAGGTGAACAAGAGCTCTCGTATCATTTGCCACCATGCTTGGTCTTCCTAGGAACAAAAGCTGTGATTAGCAGCCATTTATTGTTATGCATATTTATGCAAGGGCTTCTCAGCTTTGTTGTTGGGAAGACTGCTGTCTCTGTATAACAAAGCCTGCTGGCAAAGAAACTCGGGCGGCACTGAGATACCATTTCTCCTGAGCACCATAAGGGGGGCCAATGACTTCCTAGATGTTGCGTCTCAGGATGCTGGCATAAAGCCAACATTAGATTTTTGGTGCCAAAAGACCAAACACATAAACAGCCAGGGGAGACTTGCGAAATTTACCAACGATTGAGGGAAATGTTCTCTGCGAGGGCAAATTCCAGATTGTTCTGCAGTCGGGTGGAATTCCAAGGCCAAGAACACTAGAGGTAGACTCAGAATCTACAACAGAGCCATCTCCTGCAGAGGGGCACGTCTGGGATAACTCTGGCTGGACATGGGTTTGAACGAAAGCACAAACCGCGAGGTATGTTTGAATGGAAATCTCTCCCACTAAGAGGCTGACTAAATTATTGTTCATCAATGTGGCTCCAGGGCCGGGAATAAATAATTGGACCAATGAAAGAAACCCGCGGTAATTCCGCAAGAAAAGAAGTAAACAGTTCAATTGACTGCGATTTGCTCGGCCCCGTATTGCACCCGTTGCCCCCGCAGTGTCGCAGTGTCAATCTGTGGCTGTTGATCTTGGGAAAGTATTGTTTATGTTTAAAATTTTCATATTTTTCCTATCATTTCCTGGTCGGCTTCATTGACAGAGACAGACACTTTGGGTATTCTTTTTTGATAAGCTCATGGTGGGCCCGCTCTTATAAATTGCATACCATGATATTTACTACGATATTTGGTTCACACACAACAGGTCAGACATGGAAAACCAAAAGAGATTGTACAGCGACGTCGTCATCATTGGAGCAGGCCTGTCGGGAATCAACATGGCATGTCAGCTCCAACGGCAATTATGTGTCAGCGACTACGTGATTTACGACCGCGCTCGAGAATTGGGTGGCGCGTGGGCCGCCAACAAATGTGATTTTCCTGCGTCCCCTTCAAAGTGGTATTAGCTTACAAGGGGCAGATCCAGGATGCAGTGTTGATATACCCGGAGCTTTATATTCGTTGTCATGGTTCCCGAACCCAAATTTTACCAGCCTTTTCCCGTCCCAGAAGGAGATTTTATCCTACATCCAACGCGTTGCTCGCACTTCCAATGTCACAGATCATGTGGAGCTTCAGATTGAATGGAAAGGTGCCCAGTGGGTAGAATCATCTGGTACATGGCATGTCTCTCTCAGAAATTTGAGGACAGAAGAGGAATTTCTTCACGAAGCCAAGGTGCTGGTTTCCGCTGTCGGGGGCTATACCAATCCCAAGTTTCCTATCCTGCCTGGCTTGGACACATTTGAAGGCCCCGTGGTGCATACTGCCAAATGGAATAAGGAGTACGACCTCCGAGGCCTCAACGTAGCCGTGGTGGGTAACGGATGTTTGTTCACCTATGACTCGCCTGTCAGGGACATTGAGATAACATTCTACAGGTTCCGGCTCACAGGTAGTTCCTGCTGTGATCGATGAAGTCAACAGCCTGACGCAGTTTATCCGGGTAAGTTTTTCATTGCAGCGAGTCTGCTCCATTGATTCTGATTCTGTATGTGGAAGTAGAGCCCCCAGTACTATGTCCCGATGCCTATGGGCAATTACCGATTTGGAAGAGTATTGCGCGCTTGCTTCTGCTACATTCCACTCACTTTGCTTCTTATCCGTTGGCTGGTCTTTTGGATCCTTGATACCACACTTGGGCAGTTTTACAACGATTCCAAAGGAGACATATTGAGAGAGGAGAGAGCTTCGCGCAGTCGGAAGTATATTGCGGAGAACGCCCCTGGTTAGTATGTGACAGAATCAGTCGCCACCCTTATGCTGACTCAAACCTTTTAGAGCGATACTGGCCTTTACTTACACCTGGTTATGACCTTGGGTGCCGAGTATGTGAGTGTTTGAACTGTGTCGGGCCTCTAATAACACTGTATGTAGCGAAGGATACTAGACAATCACTATATCCGATCTCTTCGCAGCCCTAGAATGAATCTGGTCAAGGACTCGATTTCACAAGTCGACTCGAAGAGTGTGGTGACACGTTCAGGCGAAAAATACCCGGTTGATTTCATTGTGAGTTGCATGAAGAAAGATAATTTCATATCCCATGCTGACGGTAGATCGTAGATTCTCGCGACAGGGTTTGAGTTCACTCAATGGAAGGCCGATTCGGTGATAGGCCGGCGTGGAAAGTCGCTGAAACAGATTTGGGATGATCGAGGCGGCATCGGCGCTTACAAAACTGTGGCGATGAACGAGTTTCCCAACATGTTCTATTTACTAGGTCCGAATTCAGGCAGCGGACACACGTCTGTCCTTTTTGCGATCGAGTGGTGAGTATTGTCCTCCAACAGTACCGCCGCAGCTGTGCTAATATCTGTCACAGTTCGGTCAACCTCGTTATTAGGATTGCACGTCCTATACTGCAGCGACAGGCATCGATCGTAGAGGTATGCAAAGGGGCTGAGATTGAGTGGTGCGACACCATACAGACTGCTCTCAGCAAAACAGTGCTGACGCGCAGCTGTTCCAATGTGAGTTATTTGCCGATCATCGTAATGAACCATGCGCCTGCTGACGATCTCCAATGAAGCAATATACTGACCCAAAAACGGGATGGAATTTCTTCTCATATCCTTTCAAGTCTTTGAGTTTCTGGGCTGGCACGCGGTTTCCTACAATGAACCACTGGGATTACCGGTAGACTTTATATTCAGTCACCTTGGACTAAATAATTCGGTTTATATGTTCACCAACCTTGGGTGGACGGCATTTCTTTTTTATTTTGTTACTCTAATTGGGTTGCATCGATTATGGCTCCTTCCTAAAGACACCAGTAGTGAGATTTCCTCGTTTTTCTGTCAAATTGAAAAGAAAAGTATAATACATGATCGGTGCGTGTACTGAGTGTAGCAATGATCCGAAGAATTTCCTTGATACTGGTGAACGATAACGCGGCGAAGGGCGAAGAACCCTATGTACGAAAATAATTGGAACATTAGGAGTCACATGTATCGAGAGCCAAAATTTCTTGATGACCAATCCCTTGCTACTAAAACATAGTGGTAAATTGGATGATGTCAATGACTATCCTGAGGAATCTCCGCACAGGTAATTTGGAGTCTAGAAGGAGGATCGGCTTGGAGTTTGCCTGGTTGCAACTCTAAAACAATACCTTTAGCGATCGAATATTTCCAAAGCGAATACTCAAAATTTGTTCGTATTGTCTAGAATACCCGACATGATCAGCTCTTGACGTACTGTACCTTGTTATGACGTGATGCAGTGATCAAGCATACGGGTTATATAGGATTTGTCACATCACAAAGGTAAAAGTCGTCGCTTTCACTTACAACCGACTGTCGTACGAATCATCTTTATAATCAGGAAAGTTATTCACTGCAAAATCCTCACAGTATGGCCATTTACCCTCCTGATGTCGATCAAGGCCTAGCCGATCCAATTTTACTTGAGAAAATCGACAAGCTTTTCGCCTGCAATATTGGAAATTACATCAACCTTCCCCAGCTAGTTGTTGTGGGAGACCAGTCAAGTGGCAAAAGCTCTGTCCTAGAGGGGCTAACCCGATTGGCATTTCCTCGGGACAGCGGCCTGTGTACAAGGTTCGCTACTCAGATTATATTTCGCCGGTCTAAACATAGCGAGAGAACAATTATGGCTTCCATAATTCCGGATTCCAACGTCGAGGAGACACATGCATCGAAATTGAAGGACTGGAAAGGCAAAAACTTACAATCTCTTGATGTCGAGTCATTCTCTGAAATGATGACGGAGGTACACAGTTGGCATCTATCTTAATATGGGTGATATTGACATCTACTTGCAGGTTCATACTCTCATGGGAGTTTCTCGTTTGAAAGATGACGGATTACCTACTTTCTCTAATCACGTATTGCGAGTGGAGATTTGTGGGCCGCAAGAGGATCATATTAGTGTGATTGATGTTCCTGGAATCTTTCGCAATGTGATACCCGGAAAATCCACGAGGGAAGATAAAAGTCTGGTACGCGACATGGTACAGGCATATATGAGAAATCCTCGCTCTATCATGTTGACAGTGGTGCCGGCGAACGTTGACATAGCGACCCAAGAGATTATTGAAATGGCCCACGAGTTTGACCCTGAGGGCGAAAGGACACTTGGAGTTCTAACCAAGCCCGATCTGGTAGACAGGGGCGCGGAGGAAAAGGTCATTGATCTCATCAGAGGGAAAGATATGCAAGTAAGGCTCGGATGGGTAGTTGTCAGAAACCTCGGACAGAGCGAACTACTGGGAGGTATACATCGAGATGCAGCTGAAGAGAAGCATCACAAAAAGCACCCTTGGAGCACTATCGGCTGTGACAGCTTTGGGATTGATGCACTAAAGATTCGTATTCGGGTGACTGTGACCGCCAATGCGCGCCAGGCTTTTTCATCGGGAAGTTTCCATTGCCCTTGAGAGGAAATCCTTAACCAGGCTAACAATAGTATGTAGGTCACATCTGAAGTGAGCAAGAACCTCAGAGCCCGCCAAGTTAGCCTTCAGTCTCTTGGGCCGGAGCGGAACACAATGGAGCAGCAAGTGCAATACTTGCTTGGTATTGTTTCCTCGTTTCAGAATTTTACCATGCAAGCATTGGGGGCAAATTACAGCTCGAATGATGCGTTCGAGAATATTAAAGCCCTCAGACTGGCTACTGAGGTTGTTGCAAGAAACGAAAAATTCTCAGAAGATCTATCCCGGTGGGGTCATTTGATCAATTTCAACAGCGCGTTGCCCCAACAAGCCGATGCAAGCGACGTTGCTGGTAATCATCCAAAGTCAGGGAGAAGGCTTTTGCCCTCAAGAAAAGTAAAGGATATCCCTGAAATTCAGGATATTCTGCCAGAATCATCCAGTGTATCTCCTCCGCTAAGTCATGATATTTGCTCCTGGATAGGTGATGAATACCGCCAATCGCGAGGCTTTGAAATTGGAACATTCAATCACGTCCTTCTTTCGAGCCTAATGAAGAAGCAGTCATTGAAATGGATCTCCCTGGCGAATGGATACATCGGTGATATCATCACCATTGTCCATGGCTACATTACCAACGGACTGAGACAGATTTGTACTGACAGAAAAGTGTCTGAGAAACTGCTTTCCTTTCTGATGGGCAAGCTGCGGGAAAGATACCAAAGTGCGATTGATGAAGTTGAATTTTTGCTTTTCATTGAAAGATCAATAACCCCAATGACGCTAAACCACTACCTCAATGATAATCTGGAAAAATGGTATTTGCTCCCAACATACTGGCGTTTTACATGATGAGCTTACAAGCCAAAGTCGCCAGAAACGCGCAAATTCGATGCAAGCAAAGAAAGCATTCGACAGTCCAGAGGGAAAGGTAGTGCGTGTTGACGATCTAAATCATCACCAAAACATGAGTAATGCCGAACATGCTGTCCAAGACCTTCAGGATATCCTGGAATCATACTACAAAGTTGCGCGCAAGAGATTTGTTGACAACGTTTGCATGCAGGCAGCGGGTTATTATCTTATGCAAGGGCCAAATACCCCGATGGGTTTGCTGTCACCCTCTCTGGTCAGCACACTGGGAAAAGAACAGCTTGACGCGATTGCAGGAGAGGGGCCCACATTGAAAGGGAAACGCGAGCAACTACATAGGGAAATAGCCGATCTCTCCCTTGCAAGAGATATTTTACTATGAGCGTTGTTTGACTCTTTGATCTGTTCTTGGAGCATGTCTTGTGGGGATGGCTTGGGGTCGAAGAGCTTTTCGTGTGGGTCTGCTGTTGATATATAGTTCTCAATTAATTTAATGAAACCAGTGCTTTCAATTGACAATGCACAACTCCGAAAGACCACGAATCACATACAAACATGGACTGCATATTTGTGTGTTCTTCGCAGGGAGAAGCAGAGTTCATTCATTTAAAGAGCATACAAGTAATCTCCCCGATGTACCTTCCTGTATCAGATGCAACAGAGCCATTGCAACTTCATTGCGGTTATGAGCTGAAAGCATCGCTTATTTACTCAGTCTCGATTGCGCGATAATTTAGAGCATCCCGAAAACACACAGTTCCAACGCTGTGAGAATTACCAGATGCCAGTTCACAAAATAGCTACAGTACAACACGGCCTGCACCCGACTAATATGTCAATTCTCACCACAATCCGGTCTTAATTAGTGACATATTCCATTATTCCCCCTTCTCCTACCTCTCGCACCTGCTTGAAAAGATGATGAAACAGTCCAATTATAGAAAACTTCAGTAAGAATCAAGTAACAAATTTGCAGCCAGTGCCATATATACAGAGATCGTCACGCGATTTGGGGCTTGTTATCGGCTCAATATCGAGACGACACACTTCCATAAGAGATTCCGTTGAATTCCAAGTCGAAAAGCAGTAAAGCTGAGGTAGGTTTCACTGTTAAAGTGTAAGAGATCTTGAAGTATTCGATCCCTTTTGAATTTCGCTTTCTTTCAAAGAGCTGACGGGGGATTTTGCTAAGATCAGATTCCAAGGTGCAAAGTGGAAGTACTCCTACCTTGGTCAACAATTTGCAGCCCGTGTCAGAAATCAGACTCAAGGTACTTACTATCACAACGGAAATCCGGTTCTCTATCGTCGTTGCAGAAGAATAGATCATCTGTAAAGACTAAATTATTGGCTTGGTCTACCCTGACTGCGCGATAGAAGTTGAATTTGATGGGCTGGCGTTCGGATATCTTGGCAGACTTCCTCTTGTCAGTCTTTTCATATCGAGTGCCAATTCAAGCTGACCAACCTTCTTAATGTACCAAGTCATGCTGTCTTGGACGACCCAGTGTTCTTCAATATCTGACCAATGTTTTTGACGTTTCGCATGACGTGCTTTATCAAACGGTGTACTGGCTGAAACACCATACCAACGTCGGGAAATTCGCGTCTCCACGCGGTTTCCTTCAAGTCCACGAAGAACCGCTCCGCTGATTGATGTCAGGAGTGAGGAAAATTTGCTGGAATTCGTTCTTACCTACCTGACAACGGATGCCCAACTGTACATGTACGCGATATAATCAGTTCTCGACGAAAGCTGCTGTTGGTGGGATATAACTCACGCATTTGGGGGTTGCAATACTATAATAGAAGGATTACTGCCCTTCAACCGCTGCAAGAGATATCTTGAGGAGCCAAACCCCCCCACAAGAACGATAGCCTGCACTTGTCAACAAAGTTCGATGTGGTATAATTTTGTAATACCTTCGCATTAAGTCGGTTACGGGAAATCTTCTCAAGCTGCCCCCGAACTAATTCTTCGACTCGTGACACTATTGGCTCGAATATCTCTTCAATCTCAAACCTGGGCAGAAATTAGAATGGTGAAGCATAGCAATCAATATAGTGAACTGTGCCAAACTGACCCTTCAAATTGGACAAATCCACCATCTATATTCTTGTCAGGTTGATCCGCTGCTCCTGGAAGTGGAACAAAATGATCCACGTCTAGAAAGTCACAGTCAGATTCTTCACCGAAGGTAGGCTTGACCATGTCCCTCCAAAAGGAAAGAGCAGCCTCCTTGGACTTTATTGGAAGAGATTGATAGTTCTGAAGGCCTACTTTCTTCATGAGGACACGTTCAAATCTCTCATCAAGTAGTAGTGATCCGCAAACAGCCCCTTTAGAGATAAGAAATAAGTGATTCAATTGCGGCACTCGGTCATCAATAATCTCACCTGTGCCTTGTGTGGCTTCTTCCAGACTCAGTGGATCGACTTCTTTTACTTTGTAAGAGATCAAGTCCTGAAAACGGAGTTAAACTATGCCTTTTTTGGTTTCCGGGCGTGGTACTAACCACAGTCCCACCACCTGCGTCGCAAACCACTAAAACATCCTCTTTCTTCCAAATAGTCAGATATATGCCTCAATGATGATAGTAAGTTCCTCACCGTGATGGAGTTTGGTTGGATTGTCCTGAGTGAATGTAGAGCGGCAGCTTCCGGCTCCGACACAAGGGATATTTGGTTGGAGTTGATACCAGCCATTATGGCGGCTTGAAGTGTTGCATCTTTTGCTTTGTCGGACCAAACCGCCGGAACGGTAAGCACAAAGATTATCTCCAATGACTTGGCGGCGTCTCCGAAGCGTCGTTGAAGCGTTTCATTCACATGTAAAACGAGATGTCGTAGATACTCACCCGAGACCTGAACAGCATTTTTGTTGTATTGTGCCATAACAGACTTAGAGGCCAGCGATGGTGCATACTCCTGGTCCTGGCTTTCATCTAGCAAAAGCTTGGAACCGCGAATTACCTCGCACAAAGGACCGACTTGATAGCCCCACTTTGAAATATCTTTCTCGTACGAGATAACAGAAGGAACTTTTAGAGTGGTGCCTGGGCTTGAGTTAACAAATCTCTCACAAAAGGCTTGTCAGCGTGTCACTTGCGATTTCCCCCTCCGGGCCAGCTAGACACAATTTCGACATCTTCGGAACCACCTTCAAGTGCCCAAGCAATCCTGAACGAATTGGCATTTGTAAACAAAAAAAATAATGAGGCATGAGCTCCTGGGACTTTGATTGACTCACCCGCTGAAAGTTGTTCCAAAATCGAGCCCTATGACAACTCGACTACTTTTCCCCATTTTGATTGTGTTCTCATCAATTCCGCGGATGCGGATGCCTCCGTCATATAGTACGTTATTTCCAACGCGCTCTTATGAGCGTCCAGTGCTCGGCAAGCACCGGAAACTCTCGCCACCCTCGTTGATGATTCATTGATTCATTGATCGCCACAAGAGGCAAATTTCCACTTATGCCATTAGCCAGGATATTTAACACGTAATGACGAAAGATATTCCCATTGGAATCGAGCCCAGTCTTCGTGAGCCCAATACCTGGTGAAAATGCCTCTATGGAATTCATTATTCCCGTCTCGAAATGTTAGGTCAAATCAGAATTATAACTCTGCGCGTGGTACGCCTTACTTCAATTATCGCAGAAACATGATGCTGATATCTGGGCCCTGCTGCGGCTTAAGCTGAGGGCAGTAGACTGAACACGCTTCAAAACTCTGGTGAAGACCATGATTGCGGACTTTACGGAGAACTGGAGGCACAACGCAAGGTATAACATTTGCTCCAATATGAGAAGCCTTTATTTACGATATGGCCAGATCAGCAGAGAATTAAGGGCACATTTAGCTTCCTACAAAAACGAGCTCACTCGTGTTCAAGAGCAACTACGACGGAAGAATGAGCTCTGTACTGAACTAGAGATGCAATCAATGGTCTCAGACGACCAACACCAGCAACAGATCACTGGACTGTGCGGTAGGATCAATACTCTCGAAAATGACCTTCAAGTAATCAATGAAGAAGATCTTGTGAGGGGAGTGGCGAAGGCTTCGACTGAGCCTTGATCGTTGGGTGAAACAGAATTTCAAAGAAGCTGCGAAGCTGAACCTTCTCGATTACAGTGGTATGCTTCAATCAATTGGGACGACTACTACCCATTCAGAACATCCCATTGCAGGCAACAACCATCAGCGTTGGGCAATCATTCAAGGCTGGATAATTAAATTGCTCCACGAGTGCATTTTTCTTCAATACTTCCCTGGGCTCAGTCAATGCGAACATGAGCTTTTTCTCGGTATAGACCAATTGATATTTGAGCAAAGTGTGTGCATTTACCCATCAAAAAGCTTCACTAACCGTTACTTTAGGTGGTCTTAATACATGGAAACATTGCAAATTAGGAATTAATACAGCTCTCGGCACTATGACGGAACGTTCACAAGAGCTTCTCATAGAAGAACTTGTGGCCTATGTGGAAAACGAGCTGGGAGAATATACCAAAACGGCGCCTGATAAGCGACAGCAGCAGTTGCATAGTATCTTTAGCCAATGTGCTGATTTCAGGATGATGTGCAATCGGCAGCCACAAATCTACAGGTTTGTATCATCACCATGTGGACATACCGTCGACATGACATGTATGACCTCTGCGGCTGGAATTATCGATTGTCCTGAGACGACCGTTGCTCTTTCTCTCTGGCAGTCCCTTTGGAAAGAGGAACCATCCGGAGATCGATTTTGCTTGGAGCCGGAATCCATCTGGACTACTGCTCTATGAAAATTTGATGATACAAGTGTCTGTGCTCTCCATGTTTCAATATCTACAGTCGTTTGGAATGCAGATCCTTCCCGGGCGCGCCATGCAGATAAAAGGACTACAAAAAAAGGAATTGTATATTCAGGTGAGAGTCGAGTCTAGACATATCTGCAGTATATAAGATGTAGTACTGCAAAATAGAGTGTGGAGAAGCATATCAGTACAAAGGAAAGCCAGAAAGTGAGTCGTAACATTAATCTGAATATCTCAAAAAGATTTATACTTTTGTGCAGATCAATTTTATGGCCATGTGTTGCAAAAAGTATAGATTACATCTGCTATCAGAATCCTGGATTGGACTAGTCGAGGGTTCATTCTATAACAAACTGTGCTGGGCATACTGGGTGGTGGCGATATCTGTAATGGAATAGAAGTTGACGGCATTTCTTTTTGGACGCTCAATACACTGACATTACTTTTGGACAGGAGATATAGAAAGCATGGGACCGACTGGATGACGTCAGAGCATTCGAGGAGATATTTCAGTATTTCAGTCACTTTACATTTACAGTAATGGAAAGAACTCATCATACTATATCACTGTTCCGGTTTGGAGACTCGTCACAAACCGAACTCGGTCTGGAACATTCTCCTGCTCAGGTGCCAAAGTTCAAATCTTTATGACACTCCATTTTCTCATATACCTCAAGCTCGGCTCGCTCTAGAGCAAAATTGAGTTACGCATGATTCTACCTACCAGCATGTAGTTTCTGAGATATGCCCACTACTGCGATTGCAGTATAGAGAGGTTAACAAGTGTTATCTTTCTTTACGTCATGACCGAGGCTAATCCCAAATCAACCAGGGAATAAGGGAAAAGCGAGCAGCATAGCGGTATATCGGTATATTGACTGGGAAGACGGAATCATTCTTTTTGAACCCCCAACAGCAGATTCGAGTCCCGTTGTGCGACAAAATCGATCGCAACTCCATTGATTTCACAAACTCTGCCTTATATGAGCATTTGGCTTGATTGAGCCCAGAAAAGCTTATATGAGACAACTGGGCCCTTGTGGAATCAACAGCCCCACCCTTCCCATTATTTGTTCCTCGTCGAAAAAGACTTAGACCATGCTCATAAAGCGCAGCTGTTTTTTGGGGTCTTTGACGTTCTGTATGTGCTGCCCAAGTGTCAGGTGTTATTTGGGACCATGACAATGCTGACTCTGCGATTCGAAATCTTGCGAGCGTTCTCTTATACTGTACAGACGCGCTCGAAATCAGTTTCACTATTTTGTTCTCCTTGATTGCTTTCCAGCTACTATTTTTATCGACACTAAGCCTGATCTAGCTAGTCTATATTCATTGCCCTCTTCCTATTGGACAGTCATGACCAGGCTACGCCAGATGTAGGCTGAGGTGGGTCTAGCCAAGACTTAAGAAAGAACCGAAGAGAATAAAATGGTGAAACTAATTTCGAGCGCACCTGTATCATCACACGGTAGCCCGCCCCGGGTTCTAGCTTGTCCCGAGAAGATATTATAAACCCCTTTTGAGGCTCACAACGAACGCTTCGTGAACAGCCTCCATTACGAGACCTAACGCAAGGAATTATGACATTCGCATTATATACAGATTTCTCGACTTGGCCGTTTCAGTGGCCGATGATACATGTTATTGGAAGACATATCAGATCTGAATCCATGAAACTTTACCAGAAATTCGAGTCGAACTATCTATGGGACGATCAAGCTGTCCCGAGATGACGACACCATTGTCGATTGATATTCGAACATCATTTGGACCAATTAACCCTTGGAAGGATCTTCCGCCAGTCATCTCAGCGAGGGCGCTGTAAGTAAAAGAGACGTTTGAGCAATGGAAGGAGGGTGCTGGCTCTGATATGGTACCACTTAAAGAACAAAGAATGCCAGGGGTACCAAACATTGCGTTTATTCGACGCCCTTGGTGCTGTAACACTCCTTTTCCGGAATACATCTATCGGATGAGGAAGTTAGCTAAAGCTGACGGAAGGATGGATGCCCGGATTACTCGTTATTTATTGACAGTAGGGGAAGTACCTTGACAGAAGTTCAAACAATGAAATTGAGGTGGTCAATCTTGTACAATGGATTTTAAGATTCCTTCATATGATTGCGAGCGATCAGTTGTGAATCCGAGGTGCACGTGGATGGGGAAGGCGGATGATGGTAGATTGAACTCAAGAAAGAATCTGTGGTAATGTAAGGTTATGAGATGTTTTAAATCATAGAATACCTTCGTTTATATTCAAGGCATCAATCGATACATGAACGGAGTGAATGTCACATTTGTGGAATGGTTATTTTAAACATGAGGAGGGTGGATCTGGTGTGGGCCTGGTGGTTATTTCCCCTTTCAGCCGTGATGGACCTTGTACGCCCTGCAGTTGAAGGCCACAAAAGGTGCAAGGCCGTACTTCGCACTGAGAAAATAGAGGGTAGAACTATGTAGTAACACAGGCAAATCAAGAGCTCTATGTTTAATCACGAGCAACTCTCGAGACAATTGCAGAGTGGTTAATTTTTCAGACAACAGCGCATTTCTGCTACAGGTATTACATCAAAAGTTGTTTAATATCTACGCATGTAAATTGGAGGTTGTCGTTTGACCGGCCCACAGTTTACCTTTAGGCGGCATGGGAGACAAAAAAGTACAGTATGGTCTCTACCAAAATGAACACCGACAGCTGGACGGTTGTTAGCGCACGAAGAATGACCACAACCTGATTTCGGCATATTTAATATATCTAAAAATGTTGTTTTCACTTTCGCCAATGTGTATTACATTCAGAAGGTCAATGTTCAGTTCCTGAAAACCCTGAGTCTGAGATGAATATCTTCTCAGCCTTAACAGATAGCCAAAGGAAAAGCCACTAATTGCAGGTAGCGCGCAGTTAATCTGGCATATTTCTGAGTGACTGCAAAAAAGGTGATCTAGTTCATTGAGCAATGTATCAAACACGGGCGCACGTGAACAATATAGTTACCCAATTTGTTCCTCCAAGATCCACATTATTTGTATATTTGTTCTTTGCGGTTAGAAATAGCAGTTTTAGGTTTGATTTAATTCTACGAGCCGACCAATGAACGATGGGTAATGAATCTTCTTCGGGACCAGTGATAAACAGGACGACCGATGTTCAAATGTAGGAGGATGAATCTTGAGTGTTGTGTGCTGAATAAACAAAATCGAAAACAATTGCGGCAGAAAGTGGGCAATTAACCGGAAAATCACCTATCAAAGATTGCCTCATGAGTTTCTATGGATTGAACACGAGTATCGATCTCGTTCAATAACTACAGCAATTGGTTACTCAAGTCATTGTTCACCATTACACGTCAATAATAGAACTGTCACTTCCCACCCCGGAATAAGTTATTCGTGAGCAAATAAACTGCAGGTTTGTGGAGATCCCAAAGTTGATCTTCCAATTAACAGGGCAGTAATGTGCTCACTGCTTTTCTCAACTCCATTTTGTAGCTGAAACCAGCCCCCTGATTAACAGTGAGCCCGGCTTTGCGCTGCCGACAGGCTGGACCGGCTTGTGATAGACGTTGTTGGATTGAGGTCAATGCTGGCGAATGGGCTGAATAAACGGGCAAGGGCGTAATCCTCCCAGATAACTAGTATCGGAGCGGCAAATTACCTAGCTGAGCGCTGTTCATAGAAGGATGCCACAGGAATGAGTACCTCGTGATCGTTTTGTTTGGTTAATCTAGCCTCGGAACGTTTATCTCCCGTGCTGTGATCCCTGCCCGAGAGGTTTTAACAGAGTGTATCTCCGCTTTAAGATCATTTGTTTTCTGATTTAGAATAATTTCCATTTTGAAAGAAGCCATACAGCCTTCGCAAGATGTTGATCTTTTCCATTAATAGGTAGACAGCCATTGGTCATTTGGGGTTTGGTGAAGTCAATCTACCTACTCTCAAACGGGCTCATCTCAACACATATGCCTATGTGACATGCTCAGTATATGTAGTCTTCTTCCGCCTGTGTCAAGCCGTGGTTTTTACGAACCATCGGTAGAATGTTATGATTAAACGCTGGGCTTTTTAAGATCTGCAGCGGACTCCGATGACAAGAGCAGTAACAGGAACTACACACCATGGGTTATATATGTTATCGGGTTATAAATGTTATATCGCACAAAATGAAAATTTTGGTCACCCAATTTCAAACTTCTTTTTAGTCTATAGTTCTTACAAAGTCATGAGATATAGTCTGGGTACTTTGCGCTCGGTCAACGAGTTGCGTTTGTACCGAGTAGCTGCGGGGTGTTCCATTTCATGCTCATCTTGTCTCGAATATATACGGATACCGATGTATTTCTCGAGGCGGCTCAAGCTCAAAGTTGCTTGAGCGAGTGCAGGCCTCTTTCCGACAATTACCCTTACGCAAATGGTTTGATTCGGCCCAGGTAGATTGCGATCTGATTGAATTATTCTATTTGAACAGCTTCTCAGGGCGTAACAGGAAGAAATGCATAAGTTGCATCAGTTCACACCACTCCTACTACTGACCTCCGCAGGTGCGGAGACACGGCTGCCAGTGAGGTCTCCGGCTTTATCGTCGCACTTGGGAGGCTCCTGCGACTCCGCCTCCAGCCGCTTCACCACCAAATCAAACATCAAATCAAATGACTTGGCATCCTCATAACCATGCTTGATACCATGTTCTGTGAACAGGTAATCTATCATGGATCCCATTCGCCGATTGACCTCATAAAGAATCTCGGTTAGCCGGACTATCTCCTCCAACTCGCTCTTGGATTGGCTGAGCGCCTCCCGTATGGCAACTAGCTCCTGCTCGGCTCTCGTTTGGCGGCGTTCTGCTTGAACGGTGCGTGTATTGAGTGCACCAATAATTCGAAGAACTTCCTTAATACTGGTCAGCGATGTCGCGGCTAAGGAGGAAGAGACTTACCGAGGCATCCATGCCTGCGAGTGAATAATTGGCCAAAGAGGAGATACAGTAAGGGTCAAAGAAATAATATGGGGTAAAGAAGTAATATGGAGCAAGTGACACCTTGTACACTTAGAGGGAATCAGTGCCTTGAAACAGTAAAAGTACGATTTTTGATTCCAATGGCTATACTTATAGTTTGCTTGTTCCTCTTCATCAATTGAGAAGCTAGTATATCTCTTCTCTCGTTCATGCATAGATATTGTGGCTTGAACTAGGAAGACCATGTGTACTACCATGTGTTCATGATAGCATTGGGCGAGAAGTGTATTTCTGAGCGCACCTCACAGAAAGCACCAGACGCCATGTTTAAATGAATGAACAGAGTCGGTATGATTAATGTGGCAGAATATTAGCCATCATGAACAAGACTTGATCACAAAGAGAATTAAGGGTACTGTAATTGGAAGAGCAGCACGTTGAAATTGGCACCGGTCTTTTGTACATCACCACAAATCCACCCCAATTTCTCCACACCACATAAAATAGCACGTTCGCTTTCCAAAAATACTTGTTCATTAACTGAAGGCTGTCGTTATAAAGCTAGATTAACAAGCTTCCCTGGAATTTCTGAGTTATAAGGGCTTGATCTCACTTTTCTCAGCAATTGCTCTCCACTGTATCCAGCATTCTAGATCTCTCTTTGCCCATCAACCATCCAATTCTGCGTCCAGACATACTACTAGCAACCATTTCTCGAGCCATGCCTGGAACCATCTCGAAGGTGGCAAAATGGTTTGGGCTGGAGGTGGTACATGTCATCATCGTTCGTCGGTCACATCATGGAGATCTACGTCTTGTCCAGTCTACATTTCCTTCTGACCATCCAACGGTAGGTCTCCTTTTAGCTTTCGAAATATCTACTAAATTTTCTAAGAATATTACATTGACTCTTGAGGAACAAGAGGCGAGCTCATCGAAAGAAGACATTGAGTGGTAGATGGCTAGCTAGAAAACACTGGCAAATTCGGCCGCCGCTGTATGTCTCTGCGGAGGAGCGGAGTGGAACTGTTGTGAAATGAAGCTTGTGCAGATCAGGAACCAAGCCGCATCGTTGGAATTAGGTCCGAGGTGTCTATGCGGACGTCCAAGCTGATTTCCAATCAACTTGGCTTATTGTTGTATATATAGGCTCATATATCCCTCTGGAATAATAACTCAATCGATACCTCTGAACAAAGACAGGCATACATAACCATGGGATTGCAGTCTTTGAATAGAGCTGTGTATCGTACCTTGCGAACCAAAACTCAGGTTTTGCGGAAACTGAACATTGATCCCCTGAATTTAATTGACAGTGGCGAAATTGAAAACAACAGGTTGAACTGGGCTGCGGTCACACAACTTTCCAGCTGACTTCATTCTGGTGAACACCATACTGCATCCTTGCCTAAACTGCCACCTGAAGGGTAGACTGTGGGCTGGTCAAATGGCTGACTGCCTTCGACTCACGTCCGTAGGTATTAAACAGACTTTGATGTTCAAAATCCCTGTATCAGAAAGGGAATTATTGTCCTGAGAATTAACCACTCAACAATTGTATTGTTGAGTGGGTTACCTGCGAATAAACAACCAGCTCTTTATCCGCCCGTATCACTACAAATTATTACCCTCAACTTCAGGGCACACAATGTCCCTCACGACAGAAAGGGGAAATAACCATCGGTCTCACACTAGATCGCGCTGCTCCACCTTGCTCATGGTCGAAATTAACGCTCCACGGATGTGAGAGTCACTGCGGTCACGTCCATATTGATGCCTTGGATATCAATGAAGACATAATCTAGGATTTAAAATATCGCATTGCCGCACTTTATCACAGCTTCTTTCTTGAGCTCATTCTACCCTTATTCACCTCCCTCATCAACGCGTACATCAGATTCATGATTGATCGTTCACAATCTACTTGAAAGAATCTTGGTACTCTCTATAACTGGCTGGCTTGATAATCTTCCATTGCTTAATTCTCTGCTACAGTATACCTGGCTCAGGTGTCTAGAAATTATCTCAAGCTGACTCATTGTGCAAAGCACTGCAGTGCACTTATTAATTAATTGACGATAACGTTGAAGCTTTTCTCTTTTTCTCTACAGTCCGCTATCATTCCTTTGGAAACTTGGTCACTGGGAACCTCATTTTCAAGAACTTCTCATCCCGCACAAAGTTAGAACTCATTATACCCGCACCTTCGACACCCTGCTTACAGACCTATCTGTACTGACATTATATCTAGATCAAATTATTTCGTGGTCTCTCCACTGTTTCACCATAAAGCCTGTTTCTGTATCTCACAAGGGAAGCTGTGAGTGTCACGAATCAGTATGAAACTTTAGGTGATGAGACTAAATGCGGCAAGAAGCAGAACAAAAAAGTGCATCCCATTTTCTCTTTCCGCTAGAGACACCTGCTCGGTAAAATGATGCAAGTCGCAACTGTCCTTATTTGCGCGGTGTGTGAAAGGACCGCTGTCATCATTGGCGAAGGCAGCTGGAAGCGCTTCGTCGGCGAAGGTCATTTGCTGGATCGCGCGATGTTTACCACGGTAGTTTTGTGTTGGCAATGTGGGAAAACGGGATCGAAGTGTCCCGTCAGAGGCATCGGGAGCATAATGACTGCGCTATTATTGGCGGACTCACCAGCTCTTAATACAGTAGCGTCATCTTTTGCTCCCGATGCAGATGGTATATTCTGGCACGCGTATGTCAGTGGTCCTCATGGTCCTCCACGCGACAGCGTCCTTGCAGCGACTGTACCCCCGCTGGGTGAAACCCGACTTCCGGTCGTCGGGATAAGAAGGATCGAGGAAGGGCTTGTTGGAGAATATCAATTTAGCTTGTATGTTGATCGTAGGAATGCTGGGGATTGTGGAGATTTCTTCAGCTCGGATATGACCAAATAGCAAACTAGAACTTTTCAGTTGTCGCGTCAGGTATCAAATTTTTGATTTTTAATTGAGCATTTTAAGTGCAATCGTGTAAAAGACAATTTTTCGCTCTATCTTGATTTCGAGGAGTTCTGAGATCCTAAGAATGATCAGGAAGTGTCGCCAGCTAGCGAAACGGGTTGTATGTGTTCACATGACATAACACAGGTATTTGAATGAATTACTAAGTTTGTCAGGTAGAGTTGGCTTCGAAGTGTCAGTGGAAAGCACCATCGAAAATGCCCCCAAAATAAGGCATACCTGAATCCTAGATGAATGAATGTGAGTCAAGTAGCCACTTGTTGCCGAACCCGAAAAGGTGGGATGTCTGGCATCATGTGACAGCCGGAAGCTTAATTTGTCCGTGGCAATTAAGATATAATCATAGTCACGTGATTAGCTTTACAATCTCCACTTGTCAAAACGTGGAGTGGGAAGACCTATGCCACTCCATGATTGGCGTCAGAGTCATCCGCCAATCGATTTTGTTTGAGGCGAAGAGTCAAACCTTAATAACACGATGTGTGCCAAATCAATTCAGATTGAGATCCAGTTGGCACTTCGGCCTTTTAAACCCTAGTAGATTCCAGCCATCTTGGTGAATTAAGGGATCACGTTGCAAACACAAAAACGACTCACAGCCCATAAAAAGAATAATTAGTGTTTGTTGCTCCCGCCCCCAATATCATCCATGGGCTATCACATTCCTTGGCCAGAAACCGCCCTCAATTGTTCTACAAGACAGCACCAGATCATGAAGACCAAGCTCGCATTGTGACAGTTAAATCCGAATGTATTATGTACTGGTATTTCCTAGCAGTTTTGAATCCGTAGTAGGGCTGATGATTTCCGGTAAAATGTCCGAGGCGGCAACTATCACTCAAAACGAGTATCGCTCTTGACTGGCACAAGTGCCGCTACTGTGTCTACGCAAGGGAATTCGAAATCCTCGCTTCCAAGATCGTGGCTCTCTGCCCCTCCCAACAGAAACATCTGCTCTCTATGCTACGCATCCTCTCTATAGTATGTATCCCGTTTATTTAACTTAAAGGTTCGTCCACCTCATATACCAATTTCTGGCATAGCGGTCCAAGACTTCGTCTTCGACAATACTCAAGCAACCATTGCGTAGAGTCACGCTGTCTCTTTCAGCTTTGTCCGTCACGAACACCCTCGTCCCGTTCTGCCTAATGGGGGACACGACACCAAATATCATCTCATAGTAATGGATCAGTTTGACGGCCGGGTTAATTTTCTCTTCACCCCGTGCCTCGCTTTCGCGGAGCAACTGAATCCACTCTTCAAACGTCACTGTCTGAAACTGGAATCCGTTTCGTCTGAGGGTCGCCAGCAGCTCAGACCAAGAAAACACGCGCGAGTTGTACACGTGATAGATCGAGTCGTCAACACGGACCACTCCAGAGGGCTCGGACGCGCGGTTTGGTCCAACATCGCGGTCAGGCGCAGAGCACGATTCAGCTAACTCGAGCATGACTGAAGCCAACTTGTCCACTGGGAACCACGAGCACTCCTGGCGTAGCTCAGGCAGGGCTCTCAGGGTCAGTGCCGAGCGTATCATCAGAGGGATTACCCCGGATTCTTTCCATAGTCCTTTCTTTGAATGTCCCGAGACTTGACCCATTCTGAGAGAATATGTCCTGGCTCCTGACTGACGTGCAAGGCTGATCATCTTTTCTCCCACTAACTTGGACTGGCCGTAGCCCATCACCGCGCTGTCGAGGTCGAGGGGCTCCTCGTGGATCGTGGCAGAGGAGGCGCCTAGCGCCGAAGAGGCGGAAGAGCAGAACAACATGACCGCAGGCTTGAGTCTTCGAACTGAAAGCGAAAACCCAATGAGATGGTAGAGTCCCCGGATGTGGGGCTCGAAGTGGGTGAGAGGGAGGTTGAAGTTGACCGGCCATGCGGTATGGATGATCAGAGACACCGAGTCTTGCATATGACGAAAGATCCTCCCTACTGGGTCCAGGCGAAAATCAGGCCGCTCCAGTGAGCCATTCAGACCCACAACCTTTGAAGTCTGTTCCGGCGAGAGCAGCAGGCCCCTCTCGAACAAGCTGCGGCGTACTGCCTTCAGCGGAGATGACCTCCGCGTGAGACAGTATACGGTCGACACCGAGTCATCGTTCAGCAGTTCAAACAGCACGTGTGCACCCACTGAGCCAGTTGCTCCTGTCAACAGCTTTGCATTGTCAGATTGATGGATCAGAGTCAGACTTGCAATGACTTACGACGCTCTTTGTTCTCCGTGGGGTTTCCGGACACGGCAGATGTTTCCGAAACAGGGAGTATTTCTCAATCAGGTCGTTCATGAGTGAAACAGTGTCTTCGGCTGTGGATATGATACCTCCGCTCTGCAACGCACAGATATACTGGGCCAGCTGCGATATGGTGCCCATTTCAAACACCAAGTTTTGACTGTGAGAGTGACAAGGGTCGAACCTGAAATGCTGCAAAATCAAGCGGCGGAGATGTGTTGCCTTCTGGCTATCGATACCTTCCGGAAACAAGTCGGCATCCACGCTCGAGATGGAGATGCCAAGATTATCCCAACACAGCCGAAGAAGGTGAGACTGTGTCTCGGCCAGGTCAAGTTGGAAACCCGCCTCGGCGCGTGCTTCCGCGGTGTACAAGGTCTCGATCAACTCAGCATATTGCTGGTAGACCTGTGCTCGGACTATAGACCCGTTGTCCGTTCGGGGAAAATTTGCGGTGTATGGCAGAATCGCCACCATGCCCCGTGAGATTTGAGCAAAGGCGTCTGTCTGGCAATTGGCTTCTTCAATGGACGGCCAGACCGCATTGAGGTAGTCTTCACCCGTCGGATAATGGGCCCCAGCTTCCTCGGAGCGCAGGACTAGAAGACCGGGAGTGGCTTTGCCAACTCCCACCACCACCGCTTCATGGACCAGCGGATGTTGCTTGACGTAGCCTTCAAAAGAAAGTGGCAGGACTTTTTCGCCATTGATGAGGGTAATGCGGTCGTCCAGTCGCGACACAAACTTCCATCGCTCCGGGATCGTAGGATGAGGAGCAAAAAGATCCTTAGAGTGGAAAGAGCCGGGCGGGTCGTCTGAATTGGATGTGGTCAAAGCCGGGTGACCGACCAGGTAAACGCATTCGTAGAGTGATTCGGTCTCGCTGATGGGTTTCATCCAAACATAGGGTCGAACACTGTCAAAGAACTGCAGGTAGTTCCAACAGGAATCATCTTCGGGCCGTGAGATCGAATCAGCCACAATACCTGCCTCGGTGCTGGCCTGGATGTCAGCGTGGAAGAATCACCAAGGAATGGAACTTACAGGCCGAATGATCCCCCAAGATTGACACCTTCTCTGATCAGGCGATCCCCCAATTCGTCAGGGCAGGCAGCACCTCCGTAAGTGACCAGTGTGCAATTCTGCAGCGCCGCAATGCCACGGGGATCATCCACCAACAGCTGAATCATATATGGGACTGCCGCTATCAGCTCCGGTCGCGCCTCTTCGAGGGCGGTGAGCACGCGCTCCGCTGTCATCGGCAGAATGGCATTCCACATGTACGCGATCTTCCTCATCCACATGGCTTGGAATGCGGTGGAGAGCCCATGCAGATGGTGCCAGGGAAGAGGGCTGAACGACGTGAGCCCAGGACCCTCCAGAAGGTATGACATGAGCGCTCGATGGGTCAGAAACAGCGGTTTGGGGGGACCAGTGGATCCTGAAGAATGCAAGATCACAGCGGGTGTGTCGGGGTTGCGATCGCGGCGAAGGAAGGAGAAGCTAGCTTCGGATTTATTGTCCAAGGAGCATCGAGGTAGTAAATGGCAGCTGACCAGTCTCCGTTGCAAAATGTCGCCCACCGTCGTGCGAATGCCGGGGGTTTCTCCGTAAACAATGGACTCACACCCCACCGCCTCCAACAAGGATAGACATGCCTTGCCCGACAGTCTCGGCGAAAGCATCATGACAATATAACCTAGCCGGCTCAGCGCAAAGAATGTCACTACCATATCGAGATCTGACAAGGCGAGGAGGGCGACAATCGATCTGGTTTGCTTTGGCTAGCGAAAAGATGTCAGAACAGGTAAGGACATGTGGCCTCAATGTACCTACCGTCTGAAAGTCAACGTGCATAAGCTTCGTCGCTGCTTGACTGATCAGGCCATTCAAGATTTGACCGCTATAGTAGTCATAGGACGCGGCATGGTTCGCTGATCGGGGATAGGCAAGGATCGGATGTTGGACAATGTCGGCCGCTCGCAAACGGATCAGGTCATCGAGAACCTGAAGCTGCCCAAATTCCCGAACTAACGGATTCTTGGGATCATAGGAAGCAGCCGGGACCATCTGGCCACTGCGCTGGATGCCCATGATGATTGAGAGCGCGCAAGGCCTTGGCAGGATATGCGGGAGCTTGCAGCATCAATCTCCGAGGGAACAAGAGCACTATATAGAAGCACGCTAACAAGTTCACTTGAACATGATTTTGATTTCACAGATAACCTCTGGTGCTTAAGATGATAGAGGCGGTCGTTGGTGATTTTCCTGTTGTAAGAGCCGTTGAAACCCAATCTTATCATCTTTTCCGTGAAGAATTTTATCCCAACATCCAGTTATGGCGTGTGGTTATTCACTGGCACTCTTTGTGCATCGTCACCTTGCTTTACGGATTACGTGGTCTCTGGTCAATTACAGGCGGAATTGAGCCAACCGCATGATTCAGCAATGAACACGCAGAGACGAAAGAGAGCAGACCCTGCAAATGTGATTTGCATCCTTGTCAAAAAGGCGGAGTGTTGTTTAATGGATAGGTTGCTTAGATTAAGTAACGGAAAGGTAGATTATCTGACTCGGTGATGAGGGTGGTTGAGGTCGTGCCCAAGGTACTTCATAGGTCATAATTCAACAGTGTGCGCGCTGGTCAGACTATCCCTCCTCGAAGCATACTTCCTACGATAATGAATGCCATTGGCTCTACTGGCCATTTAATTTACAAGCAACTGACGAATCTACATTGAAATCAGACAAACGTGGAGATGTACGGTATTGAACATAGTGGTGGAATCCATCGGTTTGTTGCGATCTCTCTTAATTTCCTGTATCGCCCTTTCATGCGGCACTCTTAAACCCAAGCGGCAACATGGCAGCTCTACCCATTCGACTCAAACAGTGTGTGCGCGCGAATGCAGTCTGCGGGCCAAGAACTCCACATCCTGGAGCCAGCGTAACTTGATTTGCCGCTTGAGGTCCTGAATCCTGATTTCGTTGTGCATATGCCGAGCAACGAGCCGTTCGTTGTAATCATTGAGTTGCTGCGCTCGATTCCTCCTTTTACGGCCTCTTTTTTCCTTGCGCTTGTCACGGCGCCTCCAATGATGGGTGATTGTCGACCCTTCCGAAGAATACCTCCGTTCCGGCTTCGCCGTAAAACGCTCCTCCATGGATTTCGGTTGCCGTTGATTCTAATGGAGAACATCAGCTGGACGTCCGGGGCAAAAAGCAAGGAATAGAAAGACCCACCGATTCTGCTGCTGGGTCAGGATCAGCATTTGTCTGAGTGCTGTCCGCATAGGGCGGGTTGACAGAGTTTTTGAGAACATCGCTAGAACAATGCAGCTCAACGTCTAGCATGGACTCTGCCATCATTGCTATCAAAATTGCTTGGAGATCATAGAGTCTGAAAAGGTCATTATATTTGCAGGTCTAAACTGATTGAGGAATGAGATGCAGAAGAAAGTATGCACTGGTCAGTAGGGGAGAGTCCCTTCGTGGCCTTGTGATAGACTTCGCCAGATTGACCAGGCGGCCCGGACTAAGTTTTGCCGGGTAAATTCGATGAGTAGGCCGATTAAACGGGGGGCGGATACATCTGTGACCTTGATCTCGGGAGCTACACCTAATAAACGGTATCAGAGAGAGATATAACCAGAAATGAGCTCCCCGCTTAATAGCCGCAGCTCAAGGCTGCTCATGAAATGTTAACAGGGAAAAATCTGCTGCCGAATTTGTGTATTTGGTATAAAACGGATTTAGCCTGGAGCGTTCATGTCCCGTGGTGTTACTTCAGCCTGGGAGACTTGAACAGCACTTATCTATTTAGTCTCCATTTAGTCGTTTTCAGTTCAACAGACGCATGTAGTGCTCTTAACACGATGGATTTGTTTATTGTGAGGTGGACAGGTTATTGACAATTAGCGTTTGAACATTTGGATTGCAGTAAGCCAATTGACCTCCTAGTGTTCTCATTTGAACGGAAATATGGTTGACTTTGAGGCCATTGATTTGTTGTGGGGTAATGGTTGGACTTTGGGCCTTCGACGAATTTGTTCTTTGCAATATCCAGATCCCTGTCATTCTCTCCTGGTTCGAGTGTCTACTGGACAATCAAGCAATCAACACCGCATTTGTCGGGATCTGCGGCGGGCTGCAGTGATACGGTCGTAACACTGATGAACGACATTAGAATATGCATGTCTGATAGGTCTAAGCGTAACGCCCGCCTTTTTCTACGCTTTCTCAATTTCTGGTCCTTTACTCTCCGGCCTTTCGTCGGCCATCGGGTACCGCCACCAAGAGTATTGTTTATCACGAAAGACCAAGCTATTTCAACGTTTGTGTGATGTAATTGAATCGGCCTGGTCACTGCCACAACTCAGCACTATGTGAGCGGCTGTCACTCACTCTTGAAGATCAAACTTGCGCGGGGTGGATGGTATGCAATATAATGAGTGAAGACGTTCCAGTGATAGACTTTAATGAGAAGCTACTATTGTAGTATACACAATATTCAGTGTTTATTTTTTAAGTCGATATTGTATATATGACAACCATCGGAGAACGAGTGTCCAACGTCGGGCTATACGTATCTAGACAATGCAAGGAAATATCCATGATACAACAAGAACACACTTCGAAAATATCTGGCTTCACAATATATATCTGATTGCAGATGATGTGTGGAAAAGTGGCGAACCACTGAGCTGAAATATTGTGATCACGCCCTTGAACGATCTGGGCATTGCATTTGGGGGCTGGAATGATTCTAGATTTTTACAGTATATAGTAATGAATGATGAAGATAACTTGGATACAGACGCGCTCGATATCAGTTTCACCATGTTGTTCTCTTCGGTTCTTTCTTAAGTCTTGGCCAGACCCACCTTGGTCTACATCTGGACTAGCTCATCAATTACTGTCGAATAGGAAAAGGTTAATGAAAGTCCACTAGCTACACCGGGCCTAGCGTTGATAAAAATAGATGTTGAGAAGCAATCAAAGAGAACAAATTGGTGAAACTGATATCGAGCGCGTCTGTAGTGGTGTGATATTCAGTAGAATTCTAACCGAGGGGGCTTGTTCTGCAACATGAAACTAGAGGCCCAGACTAAAGCCAAAACGGCTCTAGGGATGTCAGATATGGAATAGCAGACATGGAATAAGATGTTTGAGGACAGATCTTGGCTTCCTCAAATGACTTTGCGTTTGAGTACTGATCTCCAGCACCACGAAGAGGTGTCTGTCCTATCGCTGGAGGCCGTGATATCACCGCGCTCAAACATTGGGACAATGGTAGCAAGCAGTATCACCGCGCTCGAACATTGGAACAATGGTAGCAAGCAGTATCACCGCGCTCGAACATTGGAACAATGGTAGCAAGCAGTTTCACCGCGCTCGAACATTGAGACAATGGTAGCAAGCAGTATCACCGCGCTCGAACATTGGAACAATGGTAGCAAGCAGTATCACCGCGCTCGAACATTGGAACAATGGTAGCAAGCAGATGTCACCGCGCTCAGACATTGGCATAATGGTAGCAAGCAGATGTCACCGCGCTCTAACACTGGGGTGAGCTTGGGCTTTTATGTTTTCTTGTACGGTGTTCGAGAAAAGCCACATACGCACTTCAAGGGCCCCAGCCACCCGATTGAGCACGGTGACCCGCCGTCAGCAGTAAGCAAATGGCGCTAACGTCATGTTCAAAATCGAACTACATGTTTATCAGCATGACTACTTTGCGCTATATATAATCTGTGTTCAACATCTCTTGGTTTTTCGGTGAACTGATCCCCATCTGAAGGCAAGACTCACCAAGAGCTCCGAGGGCTATTGAAATGTAGTGATTAATTAGACCGCTTTGCCGCACTTTCTTGGATGCCTGGTGTTAATCAGTTTGGTCGGCGACTGGGGATCTTACCAGCGGAGTTACTCTAAAGGCTATGTGCAACAATCAATGATTTGTTAAGAGAGTGCTGAGCGTCCAGTCGTGTTTCATCTCAATGAAGGCATTCAATTTAGACTTTATCTTGATTTGAGGACCATCAAAAACAACAAAATGGTGAATCGCTCAGCCCTGTAAAACCACGGGTTTGTTTTGGGGACAGGAGTTGTATAGTATCTGCGTCCAGTAAAAGCAGTATTAAAACAGTCAGAGGTTGGGCTTTGGAGAAGCCGCAATTGTGGCCCAAGAGATCCACAGATTGTCAAAAGATCGTTATAGGTGTAGATATACATCAACAAGATACACGAGATATACAATTTCACTCAAAAGGTACTATCCATCCGCTATATTTGCAAAATCACTGACTGCCATTTACAAATACTGTATATTTTTTTGACTCACCTCCAGTTAGAGCAAGGCGACAGTAAATAACAAGTGAAGCTCCAAAAAGGTAAATCCCCAATCGAATAGCTTACATAAGCTGGCGGGCTTTACGTGCTGGTCACCGAGGGCCGGCACTGACCCGGCACATCACGTTTGCATTGACGCTCTTACCCCGGGGGTGCTTGAACACCTCGGGCACATGTAGGGAACACGACCCGATTGAAACGAATTGGCCAATGCACCAACAGAAGACGACATCCCATGAAGCTTTCGCAAGTTTTTTTGTGTATCCTCCCAATGAGACTGTTCCTGCTGCTTCAGCTGTTCACGTAATTGCCGATTTTTTTCGTTCGTATTGAATGATCAGCTCTTCGTTTTGCGCGAGAAGCTTCTGTTTCGCTTCATTCGTGCTTCCCTGTCCCCTTTTTCTTTTGCAGTGGGCTCGATGGGGGTTGGTAGCGGGCACTTCGGGAGAATAGTTGGACGCGGTTCTTGTCTCTTCTGGGCTTGGCGTTTTTGGGAGGCTCAGTGACCTGAACATCGGTGGTGTCCAGTCCTAATCGTGAAGGTGTTAAGAGGGCGACCATACCAAGGCGGACGAAAACCGGAATGACTTACGCGCACTGTCTTTTGTTGAGCACTAGCAGCCAACCGCGAGCGCGCGATATGACTGGCGCTTTTGAGTCCAACGTTGGATGTATGTGGCCGGGAATATGGTGTGGGACGGGCCATTGCTAGTAGGCATCGACTGGAGCACACGGAGGATGGAAAAAGAAGTCTGAGTTTTGGTGAGGAGTGCGAAAGTCAGGCGCCATGGTCAGGCATGTCCTGAGCAGTCAATCAAACCATACGCGATGGTAAGGACTATCGACACGGCTCTGCGAATTTACCGTCACATCAGACCGCTAGGCCTACGAATTCTGTAAAAATTTCCATCGGGGTACAAGCGGGGCAAAAATTCAATAGCGCGATATTCAGATCCACCTCCCACCGTTTGCGGATCGGAGATGGGGCTCCCGAGTATTGATCGACAGAGAGATTTGATTGCTGTATTGCCCACGCCTGGTGACTTACTCACATGCCATCTATCAGCGGATGAAGCCCCAGAGTCATGAGAATAGCTGCGAAAAAAATGCGAAGCCGGCGGGTCGCCCATAGTCTATTGAATCCCGGAACGTAGAGCTAGAGCTCAGTGAAGGTATAGGGCTTGTGTGAAACCAAGGCTCTTTGGCAAATGGCACAGGTCATTCCAAAGCTCCGTCTTAGATATATTGTCTCCATCCCTGTACTTGCCTATCCTGGACATCTTTTGCCGCAAAGCTCCCACAAAGGGGCTAGCCCGGGAGTTCAGAGATGTCAGTCGCAATCATACATACCAGTAAAGGTAGGTTTGCCGATAGAATCCGCCAGTGTCTCATTTCCTGCCCCATCTTTACACCGTCTGTCCCCTTAGCTCGCGAACGAGGACGAAAATGTCAATGGCACGAGAAGCTATTGCTAGTGTACCAACGTGTAGTCCTCTTCCTGAATACTCGGATATTGGCCGAGAATAACATTGATTCTCTGTCTTGGGTCTGTGGAGAAATCTCAACGCGGGAACAAAAATTGATTTCTCGTAGCTTGGAATTCTTTTTCAAATGGACACGCTTCCACAATCCCGCTGATATGCCACGAGATATCCTCAACAGAGAGTGTTTGACTTCCTCGTTCCGAATCGATTCTTCGCAGATAATTTGACACGTTCCTAAAGCGTTCATCATAAAGATGAGTGACTTGAGCAGTTCATTTCCCACAGGCCGAAACAAGCTATGGGGACGGTACTTTCCATATTTTGCACAGAGCGGTTGAGCTGTGCATGTGTTTTACTGTCTCCACTATCTATTGTGGATCGGTGAAATGACGCTTTTCTTTATCTGACCAGCACAAAACGGAGATGCTGGGGTGTGATTAAACGCAGTGATAAAGTCAAGCGAGTACGTGACATGGTCACTACCCGACTGAAATTGCATTTAAGTCTTGTTTTGCCCACCTCAAGCGAGCTGGAATACAGCTATTTCTTCTTTCTCTTTTGATCTGTTCAGTGCGGACATTTGTCTCGCGATATCCTCCAAATCAGTGTTCACGATGCCGGGAATGCCAACGGCATCGCATAATCCTGCCGCGCCAGCTCCTACCAGGGTGAGAAAGACCAGAACGTCTGTCACCCGCCCTGTGCGACCTTTGCCGGCGAGCGCCGACAATGTTGAATCCAGATCCATCCCACGCGAAGCCCAATTACGGCAAAGATTGGTGAGTCTATACATTACCTTTGAAGGATAGTGCTTTGCTTACATCCCCATCCGATATAGCGGACACATGCCTCCCGGCCGGAAGATCATGTTGAATGTATCAAGTGGCTTGAAGCAGCCGAAAAGTCCCACCAGCAGGATATCGCCCGCCTGAACGAGCGAGGCCAACATCTTGCCGCGGAAAAAACCCAATTGTCAGCAAAAGTCCAACAGCTTACCGTCGAAAGACAGAAAGCTACGGACGAGAGCCGCAAATTGGAGAGCGAGATCGTTGGCTTGAAAGAAAGCCTGGAAGCGGCCACCTCCCAAGACCATATGCCACGGGAAGAATACAAGCAGTCCTTGAGGAAGCTCCAAAACTCCGCTTCGTCCCTGACCAGCGAGATCACAAGAATGATGAATGAAAGTGACCAGGCATACTTTTCCACTCTGCTGCCTTCGTCTGATGTGGCACAAAACTGGCAAGACCAAGACGCAAACTACCTGCTTGATCCTCCCGGTATGCCGGCGCAACCTCTTCCGGGCTACTCCTCGTCCGAGCTGCCTACGATTCCCCAGCTCGGTTCGTATCCACACCTGCCATGAGCCACTGCGGTCTCCCCTAGCGAGCGGACCGTGGTGTATGCCTGTTTCTAGAGATACTGTTATGTGATCGGTAAATATTGAATCCTAAATACAAATGTGTTCTTACACTTAGATTGACTCTGAGTTCACCTATTTCACCTGATCACTGCGATGTAGTCTCTTAGCAGCGAAGATTCGGGATTTGCAGGGCTGATCCTTCAAAGTCTGCTGTGGAGGCCAGGTGGCTTGGTGCTAAGCGCACTGGTCTCAAAAACCCAAGAACTAGCAAACGGGGAACTACTCACTACTTCCGTGATGATCGTATACTCCATCGTACGTCCGTGATCGGATGTGGATCTCCACCAAGCCGAATCTGACCAAGCATTGGGTCAGTGGAGTATCACGATCCGATTGGCGCGAAAGCCAGATGACATGCATTAATTTGCCGTGTTCGGGCCTCCTCCAGATACGGCTTAGAGTGTATTTTATCTTTACCCTCATTGGCTGGTGCGATATCTCAGACTCCATCAAAAGAGGTTCGCAAGAAGGTTTTCAGGGGTCGAGAGGGGAAAAAAGGATTCATGTTTTTTGCGGTACATTTGCGAAGTGGCATCAACCATATCCGTAACTCAGAATGGAAGTTCAGAGCTTCTGAAGGGCGACCGTTGAGGTAAATAGACGGGAAAATAGCGTTTAAGTCAAGATTTCAATGCATTAGACCGTGCATCATCGATCGAGCCGTTGGGTCGGCATCTCCCGTGTCTCATCCTGCATGCACGTACGCAATACCGCGTATAATTTGATGATTTCCCGCAGGGCGCTCGCTTAGAATTTGTCGTTGCGACACATGTAATTTGTTTTGTATGGCCGTTACCTCCCCCACTAAATCTCCACGGACGAATGGGAACTTTTTGACGAAACCCAATGTGCCCGAAAGAGCTTGAGTTTCCTAACGAAGGAGGTCGGTGTAGATCGTATTCTATTGGTCTTGTCCGGTTCACCTTGGCCTGAATCTTACCGAATCGGACACTGTGGCCGTCGAGGGTAGATCCGATCATGGCAAACTGGATAGGCGGGGCTTATTAAGTAGTAGAGATAACTCTCATTGGAAACTAATGCTCCATGCTGTCATATCAGCCAAGGGTACATAAAGGCCAAAGTAAGACGACGGAGTGGCCTTCAGGGGGTGGGGTCAGCAACGGTAGCTAAGATATTTTGTCAGGATGAGGAATTGATGTACTGGCTGGTACTGAACATGTCCAATAGAATCAGGTGATTGATTGTAGGTGTTTAAAGATCGGTTGAACGATCTCAGGGGTCTATACAAATAAGCTTCGGCGTGTTACAACACCGTCCTTCCGAATCTGCCCGGAATACCGTACAAATACTAGTGGGAATTGGGTGATCGATGAATAAGCGTCCCAAAGGGTCCTAGTGGTATTTGACCACTCTCTCAGTTCGTCACACCCCCTCAGCGTTTGCACAATTCCCAACAACCTCTGCTAATCTAGCAGATTTCCAATATCCTCCATGCCCATCAATTGGATAAATTCTGTGTGCTTCTGGCGCGGCAGTAGCTTAGTGAGTCCGTCCGCAGCCATACTTTTCGTTTCGGTCCATCTGATGAGAATCCTGCCTGCTTGGACCTCCTGACGGAGCCAATGGTGGTGGATATCAACGTGACGTAGCTTTGTCCGCAGCTGAGGAGCTTCCTTGATGAGAAGCCGAATCGTCTGTTGGTTATCGCACCGGATAGCAAGTTCGTGCTTTGGATCAAAGCGAATAGCTTCAAAGAGACGTTTCCACATGCTCATGGTCCTCGCAGCCTCGGAGATCGCTAGCAGCTCCGCTTCGGTAGTACTAGTGGTCACCGTACGCTGTTTACCAGCCCTCCAGTCAACAGGTCCGCCAAAGATTGTGCAGAGATATCCCTCCGAGCTCTTCCGATCCGGGTTATCGGCGAACGAGGCATCACTAAAGAAAGTGACGGCTTCATCATCATCGGATCGGCGCGGCCGATAGGTGAGAGCGAGGAAACGTGTGTGGTATAAGTAGGATATCACGCGGTTGATCGCTTCGAGATGCTCCGGTCCCGGGTTCGTGAGGAACTGAGCTAACGTGGAGGCGGCTTTGGCTGCATCTGGCCGTGTGATGGTAGTAGCATACTGTGTGGAACCCACCTTCTCCTGGTACTCATGAATTTGTTCCTTTGTGGCCTGCCCAGCGTACGGCTTCAACGTAGCTGGTGCCTGGGGTGTATCAAAGCGACGATGGGTGGTCAGGTGATATCTGCTTGCCATAGAGGAGATGTATGAGTCCTGACAGAGCCAGAGGGCCATCTGCTGTCTGTCACGGACAATACGGATCCCTAGGAACCACGCAGCTTCGCCCATGTCTCTCAATTCCCATGTGCTGTTAAGTTTCTCTTTGATCTCAGCCGCGCGCTGGCGCTGAGATGGGTGATTGACGATGATTATATCGTCTACATAGAAGAATACGATGATGCCGTCCGATGCGAAGAGACAAAGATCTTCTTGAACGACTGTGAGACCTAGCTTAGTCAAGACCTTTGTGGCCTCACGTTGCCAGAGCCTTGGGGATTTCCGTAGGCCGTAGAGAGCTCTGAGGAGCTTCCAGCAATATCCAGACTGCCTAAACCCCTCGGGCATCTCCGTTATCACTGTTTCATCCAGTGTGCTGTTAAGGAAGGCGTTGACAGCATCAAATTGGTGTGTATCGAGGTCAAACGCAGCGACCAGAGCGAGAACGGCGCGGGCCGTACGGGCAGCGAGGGTAGCTGAATACTTTTCTTCCGTAGAAAGCTTCTGAAGATCTCCTCGGACACAGATTCTCGCCTTCAGCTTCACCAGATATCCATCA